ACATCTTGCATCTTGTGCTCGGCGGCCCACAGCCCTCAGTCCTGTCGTTGCAAGTCGCTGTGTCACGGGAATGATGCAAGGACAGGACGGTGACTTAGAAAAGTAATGCGCCATACTAGGATCTAATTCCTACCGCCCTGGCCTCATGCCATGATGAGCTTAAGAAACTGAAGGCCAGCAGCCGTGCCGTTAAAGCGCTGCGTACTCGTCCGCAGTTAGTCCGGCACAGATTATTGTCTGGCAATGCATCAGGGCATCACGCGCCCGAGGTTCCGGCAGGGCCACCATGAAATGCCGACGCGTTTCGACGGCAGAGTGGCCACCATGAGGTGGACAACAGCTGGCCAGCGGTTACGTGGGTGACCGCTGAGGTTCGTGAGTCACGGCATGTGTGTGTGGTGTGGGGGGAGGGGAAAGGGCTGAGGCTACTAGGCAGACGTGTGCGCTCTTTCACGAGTCATGTCTCGCTCCGACCAGGTTGGATAGCTCAGAACTTCACACAATATCCTCTATCAGAAGGTACGACGCGGCTCAAATGATGGGAAGAACAACGCATGCGGTAGGCCCGAGCACTCGAGCGTGAACAGTGACTGGGCCGGTTTCAGGCGGTTTGCGGTTTCACTCGTATGACCCTAATTTAACACGGGCTTGGGCGGGGGAGTCATATTGACCCCCCCGAAGGTTTTTCCAGAATGGTTTCCGAACGGCGCGACGTAGCCGCAACAAATTTTGCACAGCTGTAGAAAATTTAATAGTGGATCGTTTGACATCACCAATTTATACGTGCCTTGTAAGGTCGCTGACCTATGGCAGGTCAAAGTCAGGCCATGGCTTCAGCGAAGGCAATTTCTAGGGAATCCTTCAATCTGATCCAACAACGGAGTGTTAGGCGAAGCCATACACATCTGAGATGCTTTCTTAAGCACCACAACAGTTGAATGAGCAAAGTACATTGACCTAAGGTCAGGTATGAAGGTCACACCAAGGTCAAAACCACCTGTTTTGTTACTCTAGGGCTTGTTGTATGGGATAGTTTCTGGTGCTCATTTCCAGTTTATTGATAGCAGGAACTGCATTATCCATCTTCCATGGACTTCTTAGAGGTCATAATAGGTCATTGACCTAGCATTACCTAGGTCAACATTTTGGTTCAGGAACATACTACCTAGCGTAATCTTTGTCGCATAGTCAAATGCAAAACTCGAAGCAATCTTGTATGAGTTTGGTCAGCTCGACCTTCAAAAGGTCAAACAAGGCCACTGACCTTAAATGAGAATGTGACCTTTTGCCTAGAAACGGTTATCTAGGTTCTGGGGCACCTTGAAGACCAGGCTGGAACTTGACCTTATTTGACCTTTTTTTACTCGAAGGTCATGAACTAGGAACCTGAAACTTTAACCTATTACATACGGGTCAACACACCCTGTAAATTTGGTGTGTCTAGCTTTCTTAGTTCCCGAGATGTCAGCGGAGGGGGTCAAATTGACCCCCACCCGAGCGAAGGGTATCTAGCCGGCCACCCGGGCGCGTGTTAATGACTATGGAAGCTTTCCGCTTCTGTTTACGAGAACAGGTGCCGTGTGGCAACGAACTGCCTAGCGTAGCCGTTAGAGCTGTCCTCAGATTTATACGTTGATCGATTCTTTCCAGGCCCTAGGTTTGACACGATTTGATATGGTGACGATCGCTGACTCCTTTTACAACGTTTTGCCCATAACAATCGCAGACATTTGGCAAAGAAAGCCTAACACGTGGAAAGCCCTGAAAACCCTTAGAATTGCCGCCAAAAACAGTTGAATTCTGCCCAATGCTCTGGTTTTAAGTGACCCAAAAAAACTGAATCAAAAGTTGTCAACCTCGTGGTGTGTAGAAACTCTGTCTTTCTTAACACTAGCCATTTTCAAGCCATGTTTGGTTAAGAAACGTGTGTACAGGTATGCAAGTAGGCAATACGGATTGCATGACAGCAATGGTGCAAGCAGTCGACGATCAAACAGCGAACAATGATTGCTGCGTCAGGGAACCAATGTATCTGCTCAACTCCAATGGAAAACGAACATAACCAACGACAAAGCCCATTCGTATGCCTGCCAAAAGATGGCCGGCGGTTCATTGTCGGAGTTCTAGCGTCGTCCGACGCGAACCCGCTCAACTCCGTCATCAGTTCGCTCAAACCACAGCACGGCAGGCGGACTAGTGCCACTGTCAGCAGCCCACATAAGTACAACGCCACGCCTTCTTTTTACCGGCGCTTTGTCTTGGGTTTTTTAATCCCGATCGGCACGATGCAGCCCATGGTGTTCGAAGCTAATTGGCAGCCCAGTGTCGCGGCGCGCGAAAGCCGGTGACTGGCGGCGCTCACGGCGAGCCAAGCTGGCGTCCACCTGTGTGATCCGGAGTGGTGCGGAGTCGTGAGGAGGCCACCGGAAGGAGTGAGCGGACTCGGCGAGGCTTTCCCTAGAGTTTGTGCTTTAATGAACTGAAGTGCCTCTCACATCGGTAGCGGAGAGGCAGCGAGCACCAGTGCTTAGATATGGTGTTAATAATATCATGTGCACAATGTCTGATCATCTTGACTCACATTCAGCAGCGTGGTGACTGCTTGCGGAAAGCTGCACTAGCCCAGCGAAATACACGGCCCGTCGATGCCCAAAATGGCCTTTGACATGTCCATGGTTAGATCCATGCAAACCCCAGGGTCTAAATGAAATTTCGTCTTTAGCGGTGATCAAATTTTTGCAGGGTGATACGTCTGCACTGTACTGACATCCTGGAAGCATACCATTCGTATCTCGCTCGCTAGCGTTGACGAGTGCGGCAGCAATGGCGTGGCGGCCTCACCCAGGATCAGCTGTCGGCGGACTCCGGGCGCGGGAGGCGCGCCGCGCTGCAGCGTGCAGAGTCGGGACCTGTTGGGGCGCCGGAGCGCGCGGCCGGCCCGGCGCGGCCCTCGTCCAAGGCCACCCGCTCGCGGCGGCCCGCCTCAGCTCCGCCCGAGCGCGGCGGCTGGCCGGGAGATCCCAGGCGCGGCCTGACCGGGGGATCACAGACGTCAGCCTGCGCTCTGTGGCTCCAGGATCTCAGCTGCCACCGGCGGATGCATTGGCCTGAACTGGAAGTTTTTGACCTGAACTGCGGCCTTTGTGGCAATGAACTTGCGATCCATCGGAGTCAAGTGTGCTGCGATGCCCAAACAATCTGGGGTTTTCTGATACGGCTTGGAATCTCCCAAGCTAAAAGGATTGACTCCTGGCGTAAGCTGTAATTTCCTGTCCCCGCCCCATGCTCCGCGCTAACTTGCGATCCTTGAACTAACCGGCACCTTTTTGCCTACCGTGCGATGTTCTGATCAAGCCGCGCTAGCTGGCTGTCAAAGGCATTACATGCACTTGGTGCAGCATTTCCCGCATGCCGTATCGCTGCACGCCTCTGTGCGTCGTACGTGCACGTTGAAACAAAGCGGATTTGCAGCACACGACTGGCTGGAGGCAGCCAGGGCTGACCTGACCAGCTGGTGACCGTGCGACCGATGCGGTAGATGAACTCTGCTGACGCTCGTGGGCCGCGACCAGCACTGAGGACCCCGCTCTAACGGTTGGGGGTGAAGCAACGGTTTCCTGTTTTGGGGCTTTTAGATCGTGAAGGGAAATGCTGCATTTATGACGTGCGCCCGCGCTCTCAAATAGAGAGGCTCTAAAAATGCCCACGATTAATGAGGTGAGAGCGCCAGTTCTGTTGTTTGCACTTGTCTGCGGGAGGCAAACGTGTTTTTGCCTAGTTTATTTTTCAACGCAAACGTCATATAGTCAATATTCAACCCCCCATGGAGATGGGATCCATGCTCCTTTCGCCCTCCGCATCTTTAGCCACTGAACTCAACAACGTTGACATTTGAAAAGGATGGGCAGAACAGAATCCGCTTTGCGCTCACAACTGGGTTAGTGAAAACCAGACAGCGGGAACCTGGCCATGGCGGTGTTTGTGATGCTGGTGTTTCTTCTGCATGGTCGGCGTGTTTGCGGCTGCGTCGCAGAGCGGGGGACGACCGGTTCTTGCAAGGCTCCAAGGCCCTAGAACTACCGCAAAACACCAAGGTCCTGGAACTTCCACAAGGCCCAAGGGCCTCGAGCTTGGTCGCTATCACTGTCGCCGTCAAGCCAGTTTTCAAATCCGCCAGACCAGTATTTCTTGAACTGTTTCTCCGGCAGCCAGCTATGGTTGCAGGAAGTTAACAAGACAGTAAGCGGCAAGGTGGATAAGCTTTGAACACAGCCACCACTGAATAGAAGAATTCAGTGGTGGCATTATATGTCTCCCTTTGCCACTAACTTCGGCCTGACCCAGGCAACGGATTCAAATGTTATGAGGTCGGTTTTAATACAAATGTACTTATTTTCTCGGACTTCCTTCTACATGTGCTTAAGACAAACCTAAAACCCAAGAATGATATGGCATGCAAACCTGTGCCCGCTGTGTTTTGCAGCTGCACCTGCTCCAGCAGGTTGTTACACAGGAATACAGTTTCCTATTCTGTTGGGTGAGGTGGGTTTGGAAGGTTTTCAGTCCCCTAACTTTGAGGAGAGGAGATGGTTGCGCCGAATCCCGGGTGAAACCGTTTCTTGTGTGTCTTGGGCATACATTCGCCAGTTTGCACTGCCTCAATTCCTTCCTCCACCCCCAACCCCATTTTGTAAGCTACGTCGCTTTGTCGCCATGCCTGTTCTGGGCAGATAGGCTGGGTGGGCCCCAACGGCCATCTATGAGTCAGTTTGGAAACCGGAGAGCTCGCCAGGCGACACGGTGGATGTGAGAAATTACCGGGTTGGAGACGTCACCGCATGAGAAGGCGCTATCACCAGCCGTACGGACAGCGACAGTGAGGCGCTGTCAGTCAGCCGCCGGTGTGCAGTGCATAGGGGCGGGGCCCGTGGGGTCGTGATCGAGCCCGTGTGGTCATGACCGGACCCGTGTGGTCGTGACCGGGCCCGTGTGGTCATGACCGGACCCGGTGTGGTCCGTGACCGGACCTGTGTGGTCCGGCACCGGGCCCGTGTGGTCGTCACCGGGACCTGTGTGGTCGTGACCGGACCCGTGTGGTCGTGACCGGGCCCGTGTGGTCGTGACCTGGTGCTGGCGTTGCAGTCTCTTAGAGGGGCCAGCGGCTTCCTGCGCAGCACTCCTCGCAACGCTCCTTTCTCACTTTCCCGCTGAGTATGCTATAGGAGATAGACGAATGTTTAAAACGCGTTTTTAATGCTCTATAGGCTTACGCCAAGGCATGGCCTCCAGCGACGGGGAAGGACTGTCGCCAGTAAGCGACTCACGGCATGCATTGCGTTGCATTCCGAGGTGGTTTGCGAAACAAGTTGTGTATCGAACATTGGATACGTATCGCACAGTAAATGGGCAGCAGCCACACCTTTTCCAATTTTCTACACTGGCTTTACGACTTCGCCCGCTGCTCTCACTTCATATGACAGCCGCTTCGCTTGTGCCCCTCCTGTGGTCCGTGCAGCCGACTCTTACCAGACACCTTTAATTGTGATCACGCATGCGTCACACCAGCTTCACATCACCACGTGACATCGCCGCCACCACCAAGCCCGTGTGCAGCCGCGCTCAGCACCGCCCCTGCACCGCCATTGTGACCTGGGCGACGCAGAACGCTGGTTTTCGTGCCGGGTCGCGTTGCGACAGCGGCGGAGGCAGGTCGAAGCAAGTTGGCGCGCCGGGCGGCGACACGTTCGCGGTCGCCCCTCCCCCCCCCCCCCCCCGACCGTTCACCTCAGCCGGCCGCGCTGCCGCGCCGACAAACAAATTCACAACGCGCTGTGGAGAAACCTGCTGGCCAGCAAAAAGCCGTTGGGCGACACGGAGGAAACCCGGCAAACAGGACAACCTGCGACATACTCGATCAGCGGCTGAAGGAGGTTGATGCAGCATGTGGAGCAAATGAAGTGATGACGTAGGCGGAAAAAAGGAGCAGGACGCCGGACACACAATGTGTGCACAAAAATGCGAGACAAACTGGAGGAAGGGCGATAGGGAGCTGGAAGGAGATAGGGGCGAGGAGGCAGAAGCGTAGGGACGTCTAAAACATTGTGAGGTTTGCTCCTTCTTAAAGTCAGCGCCTTTCACACGCCATCTTTCACCGTTGCTGGACCAGTATTAGACCTTCACGAAAAGAAGGGGACTGCAGTCCCTCTTTCTCTCGTTCCCATGCCTATTACCAAAGTTAGAGGACAGAAATGACTTGTACATATACGTAATAAGGGCAACTTTCATACACTGATGTCGTGTTTGCGGGCAATTCACCGAGGGCATGATGACTGACGTCAGTCAACATCGCTAGTCTTGAGGGAAGTTCCTTTGAGCTGCACGCCCGCCCATTGTGACACGGGCGATTGATAACATATTTAGGGGGCACGCAGAGGTCAAACTAAAATCAGCGGATGGTTTGAGTCAGTTCGCGTAGTTGTAACGCCTGACTTGAGATAGTTCAGTAGCGTTTTGCATCAGATGCCAATTTAGATCGACCAGCCCAGAATTTTTTTTTCCCTCCCCACTTCCTGCCGTTCAACCAGATTTACGACATCCGCTGCTGTAATTGATGTAGGAGGCATAAACGTGAGGTAAGCAGAGACACATTAATTTAAATCTCACCTGATCACAAAACTCAATACCCTGTAGGGTCCCAAGATTCTCACCCCGCGTCCCTGGACGCACCCTGAAGAGTCCCGAGATCCCCCATGGAGCGGCCCTGGATTCACCCCACAGAGTCCCGAGATTCTTACCCTGCGTCCCTGGACGCACCCTGAAGAGTCTCGAGATCCTCCGTGGAGCGGCCCTGGATTCACTCCGCAGAGTCCCAGGATTCTCACCCTGCGTCCCTGGACACACCCCTCAGAGTCCCGAGATTCTCAGCCTGCGGAAGCGGAAGCGGGAAGCATGCCGATGCGAACACTGCCCAGCTCGTTCTCGCAAACTCACGGCGCGAGACAAAGTGGCCGAGTTCTGCTGGTCTTAACATGACGCGACATGAACAGGCTGCAATAGTGCGTGCGCGCCTTGTTTGCAGGGAGGAGCACGGCAAGAGGATTTCTATCATACTCGACATGGGCAACGCCGGGCTCTCCAGCGTCGACCTTCCCTTCATCCAGGTCCTGATCAACATGTTCAAGCTGTACTACCCGGACATGCTCAACTACATCATCGTCTTCGAGATGCCATGGATAATGAACGGTGGGTGGTCCAGCTTCGGCTCCTGCTGCCCACCACTCTGTCTATCTGGATGACCCGGGCCTTCAGGTGATACACATACTGAGCCAAGACTAGTGGAACATGGGCAAGGGCTGGGGCTGGGGGACAGCGGCCAGCTTTGCTTTGATGTAGACGTGGAGCAGCTGTATTAGGCCTATCAGGAAATGTAGGTAAGGTGCTTCCTCTTTCATTTCCTTTGTATCATTTGCCAGGATTGGACATATCGATATTGACAGGGTATTTCAACTTAATATACTGACGTGGCAAACATTTAGCTCCTCTCGGTCATGTGGATTAGCTACCTATGAGTTGTAAGCGCGTTACTATCACCATAAATGCATAGCGTGTCCTTTACTTGCCACCTCATGCGGTGCTGGCATCGAATTCAAAACACACGGCACGCTCGATCACTCGCTGTAGGGACGGACCGAAGGCCGGGGCAGCGAAAACAAAAACACGCGTAATGGAATGAAGTGAACATGGCGACGGGACTTCCACATTTCCGTTCCACGCGGTACTGTTTTTAGACAGAAACTGACATACTACAACGACTTTCAGGCCAAAAATGGTCCCCGCCTGACATCATTCAGTTGTCTTCCTGTGTGGTGTTATTGACGATTGAAAATTTGCAAAAAAAGCAACAACAAAAACTGAAGGGCTGTTTGTCTCATTATATCCGAAACTTGATAGGGGCAATGTGCGTTTCGCATCAATACTAAAAGTTAACAATGCAAATGTGCCAGACAGTGACGTCACGTTACATCACTCTTCTGCGCCGTAAGCCGTCCCCGTTGATGTCGGCGTGCGAGCTCGCAGTACGGACTGAGCTCCGGTCACATACCGCCTCTTGGTGCTATCGATGGGGTCTACTTCGATACGGCGGTATTCTGTGGCCCAATGCGAGGCTTGTAACTAATATTGAACATCATGAACAAATGACAGCGCGACCAATGACGTCCGTGCATTTCACCCGCCTTACACGCGTCCAGACAAGAGAGGCCAAACTTCCCAGTCATTTTCATTCATTTGCTTGCCAGCCTGCGGCTGAAACTGGCAGCGCTGGCGAGGGCGTCAGCCTGCCGCTCAACGCGAGACAACTGAAGGCAAAGCTGGGATTTCCCGGCCACAGTGCGCCTCATTCCGGACCGGTGACATCACGTCAGATTGAGCCCCACCTTCTGAGGCCTGAGGTGCTGCGCGTGAGGCCCCACCTGCTGAGGTCTGAGGTGCTGCACGTGAGGCCCCACCTACTGAGGTCTGGGTTGCTGCACGTGAGGCCCCACCTGCTGAAGCCTGAGGTGCTGCGCGTGGGGCCTCATCTGCTGAGGTCTGAGGTGCTGTACGCGAGGCCTGAGGCCTGAATATGGGACAGAGACGGCACGTACCAAGTCCCCCCACCGGTCAAAGCATACCCCTTGAAGTGTCGTTTTCATGTTGTCTAGCTCCGCGACTGGAGCCAAGTGTCCGCCCGAATTTACACGGCCTGCCAGACGTAGGAGCAGACATATCGATTCAGCTAGCACTCTCGTGAGAGGACAAGCCGATTCAGTAAGCGCTCTCGTAAGAGGACTGGCCGATTTAGCTAGCGCTCTCGTGAGGGGACATATCGATTCAGCTAGCGCTATCGTGAGAGGGCAGACCGATTCAGTAAGCGCTCATACCGATTCAGCCAACGCTCTCGTGAGAGGACAGGCCGATTCAGTACGCGCTCTCGTGAGAAGACAGGCCGATTTAGCTAGCGCTCTCGGTGAGAGGACAGGCCGATTCAGTAAGCGCTCTCGTGAGAGAACAGGCCTGATTTAGCTAGCGCTCTCGTGAGAGGACATACCGATTCAGCCAACGCTCTGGTGAGAGGACAGCCGATTCAGCTAATGCTCTCGTGAGAGAACAGGCCGATTCAGCTAGCGCTCTCGTGAGAGGACGGGTCGATTCAGCTAGCGCTCTCGTGAGAGGACAGGCCGACTCAGCTAGCGCTCTCGTGAGAGGACATACCGATTCAGCTAGCGCTCTCGTGAGAGGACAGGCCGATTCAGCCAGCGCTCTCGTGAGAGGACAGGCCGACTCAGCTAGCCTTCTCGTGATCCCAGCAGTGGGTTTGCGATCAGTCATACTCATGAGCGTTTTGCACAATTGATCAGGGCACGGGACAAGGTATGACCGACGCGACAGCTAAACGCTGCCCGTCATCCCGTGATGGTGATCACAGTCTCCGTTTATTTCTGTCGTAACCAGATAAGCCGCGTTTAATGATTGTCACTCCGCGTATAACTGCCTCGCAGCCGCCTGGAAGATCATCAAGCAGATGCTCCCCCCGAAGTCGCACCAGATCATCAAGTTCGCCTCGAAGAAGGACATTGCCACCCTCATTCGGCCGGAGGACTGCCTGGAGCGGTGGGGAGGTGAAAACACGTGGACCTTCCAGTACCGACGAGAGGAGTGCGAGATGCCACCGTCGCCATTTTTGGGTCCCCGCAATAACCAGGTCAGTTGGCGCAACAACGGGGCGGTTTCATGCAATGCAGCAGATAACCACGGCCCAGATTTCTGACCCTAGCAACATCCGCCTGTCTCGTCCGGCGTGACAAAATGCGTAGTGCGGACCGTGATCGCGGTGGCACTCGAGCGGCATGGGAAGGATCGTCATGCTGTGGAACATGTTACAACTGCACGCGGAAGCACTCCGATACACGTGGGAGAGTGACAGGGGATCCATGGGTGTAGAAACAGGGGGGGGGGGCGGGGGACCCACGGCCCCCCAACTTTTTAAGGTGGGGGGGGGGGGCAGCAGTATTAACTGGCCCCCGCACTTTTCTCAGATTAAGGTTGTGTTTAGCTTACTTTTGCACCACATTAAAATCTATATGCCGATTTACCTAGTTCACCAGCCATCTTCCTCAAGATGCGTCATCTTTTTTGTTTGCTTATTAGCCATCACTTAGTGCCACAGCCGCAGGCCAACGCCACGCGGCCTATTGAGCCTACAACGCCGGGAGTCCAGGCTGTTGTTGCTATGACTTGCGAACGCGAAGTTCAAGACCATATCACATAGTTTTTTTTGTCAGTAATCAATCCTGACTGAAATTTGAACATTTTAAGACGAACATGAACTAGCCATGTTAATGCAAGCCTAGGGCCCATTTTATTTACAATGTGCGTTCAGGGATTCCTCAATGTCTCTGAAGAAAACAGAAAAAACACGGAACTGGAGCCTATGTGACAATTCTTGGATCACCTTTGGCGATCAGGGATGTTGTTGCGTCAATAAGGGTTCCTGTGCTGATCCGAGGCCAACTGCGCGGGTCAGGTCTCCCGTATCGGGGGGGGGGGGGGGGGGGACAATGTGATATGATATATCCTTCCAATTGGCCTCCGGATCGACCAGGAGATCCCGCTCCGTGTCGCCAAAATAACAACCAGATGCTTCGCGATGGGACGGAGTGGCCGTTCAGCCCTTAAACGGAACCGGTAATATGCCCCCGATGTTCTACTCAATGGGCCCTTTGCCCGGCAGGAAAGAAGGGGTCTCGTTATTGTTGATTAGAGTGGGACAGATAGTTTAATCTGTCTTCTCGACAGATTAACAGTTACAGAAACACGAAATTAGAAAATCTGCCTCTACTCTTCCATTTCTACCACCAGACTCCAACACCACTTCGCGGTGCTTTAAGGGCCAATCCGTTCTTATCATCAGTCTAAAAATCGCACACGTGACATCTGCGCCCAGACTGCCTTCTCAGTGTCAGATTTGATGTTCTGAAGCGTTCAAGGATACTTCTTTCAGAAGGGTCATCATTTTCGTCCACCCGTTGGCCAAAGCTCAGTATTAGCTGTTAAGCCGACGCTGCGCGGCCAACGAGGACTGCAACGCCTAGCGTCGAGGTTTTTGTTACTAAGATTTGCGAGCACGCATGCTCAAAATTATGTCACATTTTTTTGATTTCTAATCGATTTAAGTGTTTAAAAGCAATTTTTCAGAACACGCGTTTTGCATCCCAATTTGCAGCAACGCTGAGCCAGAAATGCGCAACAAAACAGCCATACCATCAGTTCGCGGTCAGTCATTCAGAGACAGCCGGACCAGAGCAGTGGCCACCGACGGCGGACGGGAACAGGGCTCAGACAGGGAAAATATGACAGAGGGCATTCATTCTGTGACTTTCTTTTCAAAGGAGAATCTCCAGCTCTATGGCTTCTGTCACATGGTTTTTGGCAGCTTCAAGCTTCCGAATTTGTTCCCGCCTAAAATACCGCGACAAGTCTTATCTGTTGAAAAACAGCCAGCGAAATGAGGGCGCAAGAAAAACATGTTGTACTGTGGGCCGGTGATTCACTTTCAAAATTATCACCAGCGTATGCTCAGGCCATGTTTTGTCATCTGACCTGTCAAGACAAATGCCTCCTCAACGACCAAAAATGTCTACCCGCTCGTGGGTTTTCGCTTCCCCGGGAAATGCAACGTTTAAATGGACGAATTATCTGGAGGAGTTGGATAGCCGTATTTGCCAAAAATGACATAGATGAGTCAGATAGACGAAAATGTGCACCAGTGAGAAATAATTCTAGATGCATATCTAGAATAGCAGTCATTACATTTGAATAAAGAGCGACAACCTCCATCTTTACCCCCCCCCCCCCGAGACAATCGGGCTTGTTTTCCAGAAAAAGCTCCTGAAGTACGCCCTGAGCCTGCCCCCCCCCCCCGTCACTCTTTGAAACGTTTCTGCACCTATGAGGGGATCCCTGGTCAAAGCGTTACCATTTCGTTTCAAAGCCCTTCTCGTGGCAGGTTGACAAGCCGGATGACGACGGTGCCAGCCAGAGCAAGCGACGGGAGCGGCACCAGCGGCGGCGGCGCGCCGGTCAGCCCCGCCCGGGCCGCGCGGCCAGCCGTCCGGAGCCGGCCGACGCCGACGCCGCTCCCGGAGGCTCCCCGTCCGACGGAGGGCGGTCCACCGGCGGCAGACGCCGCCCGCCAAGAGGACGGCCGCCGGCGAGGAACGGCTGGCCGGCGGCGCAGCGGCCGCTCAGCGGACAGGGCAATCTGCTCCACTACCACAGGCCTGCTCGACATCCCGAGCGCCGCCGGCGACAAGGCCAAGGTGACGCCTGGCACGAGCGCCGTACGGGACCGACAGTCCTAGTGACGGTGGTCTCCTCTGCCACGCTTGCAGTGTGCACTACCGGCTCAAGCGGCGGTGTGAAGTGCGAGGCTGTCTACTGCAGTTCATCAGCCAGTTTGCTCTCGTGGTCCGTGCCGGCTCGCGGTCACGAGCTTTCAGATTGGTCCCGTAAAGCGATCCTCATGCCGCTAGAGTTCAAGCTCTCCCGACAGAACAAGAGCTTGCTTGTGTTTTCTCTTTTAACGGTTATGCCAAACAGCTGCCCTGGATGTGGAACGGTGCGCTGTATGGTCCTCAGGACCGAGTAGGATGTAAGCGGCTGATTACACTGAACCTTCCTTCACCTGCTCATTATGCACCCTTTGACCTGTGGTGTAAGCCGATTGCTCCACGAGTCTCAGCACAAAACCAAGCCGGACGACATTAGCCGCAGCTACCTGTGTGCGAGGGTCAGTAATAACCTTCTCCTGGTTAACATCTCGGTCTTGATGTGTGCGTTTACGTGTGTGTGTGCGTGCGTGCGTGCGTGTGCGTGTGTGCGTGCGCAGGCGACTGAGCCGCGTGCCTCCTGCCCGACAGAGCCAGGTGTCGGACGACAGCGGCGCCTCCAGTGAAGACCTGTCTGACCAGTCTCAGGAGGGCGCCGACGACACGGCCGTTGAGATCGGTGCGTGCTCATCAGTGCGCACCGCGCGCGGGTCCAGCCCCCGCGCCGTGTGACGCTGGGTGGAGTAAATGCCCATTACCGTGACGTCGTTAGTAACGCGAGGCGACTGACGGTGCGCGATCCAGACACCGCCTCTTTGCCACCGTCTGCACTGCACTCGTTATTCACTGGGCAAGATAATGGAGCGTGGAAAGTCGCATAGCTAGAGTCTTGCATCGTTCGTAAACTCGTGCTGCAACTAGTCCAATATTGGCGTTCAAATGTCCGGAGTTATTTTTCGTGGCCCGCAGCGTCGCAACTCTACGACAAACTGTACAAACGCTGTTCCGAGGAGGGGGCGGGCCTGACTTCCTCTGCGCAGGGCTGGAGGCCCGTCTTTTGCTAGCGTGCGCCTCACGGTAGGCGCGCAAGGAATGAACACGTGACCATGCGCGCAACCCATTCTGAACTAAGCAGGCGTTTCATGTTTGGCGGCTATCCCAGCGGCTTTCGAGCCAATGAATCAAGCGGCCAAACCCATGACAGCCACTCATGCAGCTGCTCATGTATGACGTGTGCGTGCATCGATAGCTGAGTTTCCAACTTGGATCATTGGTAAAACTGGAATCACTGGCAGCGTCAAAGTACAGGGACCTGATGTGGCGTTCACCATGTATTGTTGCGAAACGCAAGCAAATAGGGCCTGACTGCTGCGAGCACTTATCTTTCAATGTCATTACCGATTACCACTTACGCCACTGGTGTAATTTGGATCAATTTGGGAGGGAATCAACCTTATTTCGTCATTCTAAACACCCGACTGACGTGGATACATGTTGCGCAACAGCGCGATAGCAAAAACTTCGGCGCTCAAAAGAACAAGTTCCGTTGCGTGTTCCGGCTCCCAGGCCGAGCCCTGGGTGAAAACAGGGAAACGGCCGAGAGGGAGCGAAAGCGAGCAGGGGCAGGTGGAACGGACTGCGGGCGGGAGCCGACAGCAGGCAGGTGGCCGGCATCAGCAGCCTCTTGCGTTTGCAGGCGGCCTGCTGAAGATCTCGCCAGGTGACGAGATCCAGTTCGCCAGCGACGCCGTCGAGGCCAGGCGACCACTCATGCTGCGCAACATTCGCCGCGGCCCGGTGGCCTTCAAGGTTTGATTGGACCCCCCCCCCCCCCCCCCCCACCAGTTTCTCCCTGAATGTGGTCAGAAGCGGGGCAGGGAGATGTGGTAGCGAGCGTCAGTGACAATATTAGTTCGTGATGTTTTACCAAAAGCGGGCACAGACACCCTGGACAGACAAGTTTTTTAGTTACCATGCTCACTGAATTTTGGCCACGTTCTAAGCACTGGCCAAATAAACTCAACGTTCGGCATTGGCCAGCGTGTTTACCTCAGGATTAGCTGAATGTGAACCTTCGCATCGGCTTGAATGCGATATGTGTATACACGTGATACAACCATCACATCACAGCAGAGCCCCATCGCAATGTCTCGTCTTCCGGCGAGTCCTCTCGCTATGTCTCGTCCTCCGGCGAGCTCCTCGCCGTGTCTCGTCCTCCTGGCGAGCCCTCTCGCCATATCTCGTCCTCCGGCGAGTTCCTCGCCGTGTCTCGTCCTACAGGCGAGTACCCTCGCCATGTCTCGTCCTCCGGCGAGTTCCTCGCCGTGTCTCGTCCTACAGACGAGTACCCTCGCCATGTCTCGCCCTCCGGCGAGTCCTCTCGCCATGTCTCGTCCTCCGGCGAGTTCCTCGCCGTGCCTCGTCCTCCGGGCGAGTACCCTCACCATGTCTCGTCCTCCGGGCGAGTCCTCATGCTGCCCCCACGCCCGCCCGCCGGGGCCGTGACACGCCGCACGGCCGGCCGACGCCAGGTGAAGACGACGGCGCCCGAGAAGTTCCGCGTGCGCCCCTCGTGTGGCGTGGTGGCGCCGGGCCGGCGCGTGAGCGTCGAGCTCCGCTTGGCGCCTGGCGTGGCCGCGCACCAGGCGCTGGCTGAGAAGTTCCTGCTGGTGGCGGCGCCCATTCAGCAACAGCAGGTCGTTGCCGACGACATGGCCAGCGTCTGGAGGGTAGGTGGTGACCGGCGGAGGAGGTGGTGGGGCGCCGCGACGTGACAACACCTGTAGAGATGCCGCGTGATTCTTTTCATCTCTGCCACTTTCGTGTAGGAGTGCGCTGCACAGCTCGAGGTTGCTTTGCAGCGCGTGGCCAAGTTGTACGCACAGCGCAGGCAGACTGGCGGGCGGCGAAAGCAGTCGCGTATCAGCGACCTTCCCCTCTGAACTGTACAGTCTGTCGTCAAATGCTGACAAGATTTTATTCATTTATCTGCTTTTTATGTACACAACCCAAACGTGCAGCGAACGGAAGGACCCCGACTTTCCCTTACACCTTCATCTCTTCCCTCTCACTATAGATGCTTGCTAACATAAAGCTTAAAATCAGCGTGATGAGCTGAGCCGAGTTTTCGCTGAGCTTCGGGTTGCCTACCCATAAGAAAATCAAGGATTCGCCGCTGGTATAGCCTCCATTTGTACGTCCCTCAGTCCAGTCATCTGCATTATGCTCGCCTACGATGCTTCGGAGCGCGTTTTGCTTCAATTTGCCCCCCTCCCCCCTCCGTTTGGTCACCGTCTGACGTGCCCGGACGCCAGCTCCCGTGTGTCAGCGCCAGCTCTCGTGTGTAGGCGCCAGCTCTCGTGTGCAGGCGCCAGCTCCCGCATGTCGGCGCCAGCTCCCGCATGTCGGCGCCAGCTCCCGCGTGTCGGCGCCAGCTCCTGGCCCGTGGCAGCCGCAGCAGCGCTGTACACCGCCGCCCGTGTGTTGGCAGACACTGCCGGCCGAGGTGCGCCTGGAGCGGCGGCTGCGCTGCGCGCCGGCCCCCGAGCGGCCGCTGCTGACGCTGGTGCGCGGCCTCGGCCAGCAGCTGGACGCTGTCTCGCAGCGGCTGGCGCGCCAGCAGGCGCTCTCGCAGCAAGTGGCGCAGCACGGCGCCGTCACCCAGCGCTGGCTGACCGTCACGCTGCTGCTGGTCGCCGCGCTGGCCGCCTGCAACGCGTACTTGCTGTTCGCCGCTGGGACATGTAAGCAGGCGGACGGCGGGCCGGCGGCCAGCGAACGCTTCGGGATCGCACGGCCACGGCTGGTGACCGGCGGGCTGGCACTGTTAGCCGTGGGAGATGCGCTCGGTGCCCTATTTTCGTAGATGCGCGCAGATCTTCTCAAACGCATTCCTGCTGTTCGCCGGGAATGGTTGGTAAAAGGCGTTGGTAAAGGCCTACACATGTTTCCAAACGTCTGTCACAAATGCCACTGTCTGTCACACTGTCTGTCACTGCCACAAATGTCACAATGCCAAGCATGTCTTTGAAATGTCTTTCCCCGATGTATGCCCTGCCGCTCGGCGACAAAGTGTCGACGAAGCTGCGCCGAGCAGTCGGCAGCGTGTACAATTGGTTTCACTGATGTGATTTTCAGGCTGATCCGATGGGGGCCGAGTGGACAAACCTGGCGCCGCCACCCAGCAGTGTCTGAGGAGTCGCTCTGCAGCACGCCGCCACGTGGGCGTTGCGCCTGCTGGCAGCAGCGACGCACGCCTCTGTGCAAATGTAGCGTACCCCGCGGCGGCGGGTGAAGACGAACAGGTGGAGGTCGATTCAGTTCGCCCTGAAGTCGACCCACGACGTCCGATTCACCCTACCAATGGGGAGAGGAAAGGGAAATCGGGAAAGAACGGCCACCCAGGCAAACAAGTGGTGGGCGAAGGAGTCCAGAAGATGAACTGTACAGGAATAGCACAGGTTGAACCTTATTCCAGGCAAAAAGTCGGCGGAAGGCGGATAGCATATAATCAAAAGATGAGGAAGGCGATGGTGCGATTATAATGGGACCATATGAGACGCAGCTATGGCAAGCTGCAGTTAAATCCTTGAAAGCGGCATCCTCCGCGTGTTTTGGGAACGTGGAGGCAAGGTGTTGAACCGTGGCCCGTTGAGTGGCTTACAGTCGTCAATGCGCATGCGCTATGCGTCAAGAAAAAGGAAGAACAGCCTGCAAACGGCCACCGCGATCGCCATTTGGCCAATCGCGATTTGCACAATGACCCCAGGAAGTCTGTTTTGTATATACACGCTGTCGGGTCGCGACGCCACCTCAGTTGGGGGCGTCAACAACCGCGGCCAGTATACAAGACTTGACACTGGATGCGGATCACGACGGTGGCAAAACTCTGAGATTGGCGCAACGGACGCCGGGACACGGCTGACGTGTGGTGGCAGGTCCTGGCGCTGCGACAGCAGCAGAGGCGAGGTCCAGGAAGCCACAGCCACACGCACGGGCGGCGAGCGACGAGGCCACACTGCTGTGTCCTGAGCACCCGACCACGCTGCCCAGCGCTCGCTGCGGAGCAGGGTAGCGGCGGAGCAAAAGTGTTCAGCATCATGCTTTCTGTGATAAGCACGACCAACACGGCCGCCAATTATTCAGACATGAATAAAACCGTGACTTGCCAAGTGTATTCTGCGGTTTCACCTTTCATGGAAGGGATCATCAGCTGGTGCACCGCCGGTGCTAAAGTAAACGAGAAGTCCCGGGCGCCTGCCTCTCTGCTGGCAACGGCCAGCATTTGTACCTCGTATTTAGACCACGACGGCAACAAAGTGACAAACCAAGTAACATCAAGTAACGATTTATTATGTTGATTTCTAACCCGAACCAGCACTATACTTGAACGCGTGAACTCTCATAAACATTATGTGAACTGTGCAAATATCGAAGCACGGCCGCCGCGCGGCACTGAGCGCATCATGCATGTGGTGGTGGCGCACCGTATCTTCACAACAAGCAAGCTCAAGATCTGACCGACTTCCAGCGTCCCCGCTCCCTATGGCGGGGAGGGCAGTGCGCCACCCCGCGCGCCGGGGCGGCGCGGCCGCCGGGGACGTCGCCAGCGCCGGGCGGAGCCAGTGTCGCGCGGCGCCACACCGCGTGGGCCGGCGCTCGGGCCCGCTCCTCCGCTGTGCAGGGGACGCCGCAGCCCAGGCAGGCCGAGCCGAGACCGGCCAGCGACGGCGGCGCGCGGACTCCGCCCACAGCACGCGCGTCACGACCGCCGTGTCCCGACCACGACTGGAAGACGAGCGGAGCGGACGAGCGCGGGTGCGCGCCGCACGCGAGGCCGCGTCCGCGGCGGGAGCACGCCTGCGCGCGCGGGCGACGCTGCAACTAGCGGCGGCCGGCGCAGGCAGGCGGTGGCCGCGCCAGCTGAGCCCCACCGGTGCGGCGGCACGTGAGATCGACCGAGCGGCCACACCATCCATCAGCCCCACACGGCCCACCCGCGCACCCTCAACACACGTAACAAGCGCCAGTATAAAATTCATTGCGACTAGATCACCGTTTCCGCGCACGGGGCGACGCCGGCGGGCGCCTCCCAAGCCGCGCTGACGCGGCGCGGCCGGCCACCGGCGGCGGAGAGGGGCGGCGCGGCCGCCGTGATCAGCTGGCTCATGAGGCGGGGGCGGGGCCGGCCGGGCCTATCTGCTGCTGTTGGTCGACGCCAGCGGTGAGAGCGGCGAGTTGGGCGTGGGTCCGTCGCGCGGGCAGCCGTTCAGCGTCACCACCAGCTTGCGCGCGCCCCGCCTCGTCCCGGTGCTCACACAGCCAGATGCCCTGGCGACGGCGGCAGCGACGGCGACGTTACACGCGCGCGATGAGACGGTGCCGGGCTGGACATGGTCATACGCGTGCGACGGGACGCTGCCGGAGCTGAACACGGTCACATGCACGCGATGGAACGCTGCCAGGCTGGACACGGTCACATGCACGCGTTGGGACAGCGTCAGGCTGGACACGGTCACATGCACGCGATGGGACGCTGCCGGGCTGGACACGGTCACACGCACGCGATGGAACGCTGCCAGTCTGGACAAGGTCACATGTACGCGATGGGACGCTGCCGGGCTGGACACGGTCACATGCACGCGATGGGACGCTGGCAGGCTGGACACGGTCACATGCACGCGTTGGGACAGCGCCACGCTGGACACGGTCGCATACACGCGATGGGACGCTGCCGGGCTGGACACGGTCATATGCACGCGATGGGACGCTGCCGGGCTGGACACGGTCACATGCCCGCGATGGGACGCTGCCGAGCTGGACACGGTCACATGCCCGCGATGGGACGCTGCCGAGCTGGACACGGTCACATGCACGCGATGGGACGCTGCCGGGCTGGACACGGTCGCATACACGCGATGGGACGCTGCCGGGCTGGACACGGTCATATGCACGCGATGGGACGGCGCCGGGCTGGACACGATCACAGGCAGGGTACTCGAGCCACAAACGGCGCACAACAGCATTGCGGGCGACGTGACGGTCACGACGCGACAAGAACGGCGCGAAACACCATACATAACGTTACGGTCAGGTTATACCGCTGTATCACACAAAGGCTGGACGGCGGCAACAGAGACAACAGCACGAAACGGCCGTCAGGATTCACGTTTGATGGCTGATTGTGTTAGCACGCACTCGCGTGGGGTTGGGGGTGGGGGACAGATTGCCCCCCCCCCCGCCCGCCAAAGGTTTGTCCGGAATGGGTTCCGAACGACGCGGCGTAGTGCGACAAATTTTGCACAGCTGTAGACACTGAAATAGCGGATCGTTTAGCATAAACAATTTAGACGTACTTCGTTAGGTCGCTGACCTACGGCAGTTCAAAGCGCTTAGGGAATATCCACTGGTTGGTATGATTTACGCATACCATTCCACCGAGCATTTGCCTCTGACGTGATACAACCGCCGGACGTCACAGCAGAACACGACGCGGCCTGCTTACACGCGTTACCGAAACTGTTACGTTTTTATACGCACCAAATGCGCAGCTTGCCTCAGCCACGGCATCATGACGCGGTTGGGGTCGCTTCAGAACCTTATATCAACCATAAAAATATGCTCAAGCGTACGAAGGAACAATTTCGAAACTGGCGTTTATTCCCAACAACGCGCCTGCTTCACTAAACCCGGCCGCCAGCGAACAGCGGCTGACAACATCAGCGCTTTCGCTGACTTCTGGGAATCAGTTGCCTTAGCTTAGAATTCAGCACACTGCACGAAGACGTAGTGAGGCTCTGTGACATACGGACATCACGGAGAGCGTACCTGCCACGTTCCTACATGTAATCGGCCATCGGTGATAGGAACCGTCAGCGAAGAGCCCAGAAAGCATGCTTTTACATGCGCTGGCTGTGGAAAAACAGGTGGGTACGTAATACAACTACAACACCGGCGGCTACCGGATATCTCAATATAGGTTCGGCACAAAATACGCCGGGGTTTCGAATATCTCTGCGAAGGGAGCTTCAATGCACCAATGACTTCAGATATACTGGGCGTACTTCAGGTATTGGACACAAATAACTACCATGAACTAGAACTACTGGGTCTATGCTGATGAAGATGTACCCTACATACGACACGCCGTTTTCCTGTACCGAATCGGTTAACACCGGTATTCTTTCTACACAGCGGTGGGCACTAACGAGTACACGAGTACAGACCAACATACCATATCGTCAGGACCTTCGGCGCAGTGCTTGTATGGGAGGTTCTGAAACAAAACCGCTTCTTAGTTGCATTCAGTCAAGACCTGTCACACCTTGCCCAGTGAGGGATAATAGAGCCATTTGTAGCTCCATTGCACATTTCCTGTTGATGGACAACAGCTACAAACATTGTGACCCTTTCCATGACCTTATGAATGAGTTATCAAACAATGACACAGCATCTCTGACAACATGGGATGCTCACTTCAAACTCACCAAACATTTGAGGGATGATGCTAGACAAAAGAAAAGCCTCCAGGCAAGATAAAAGACACCAAGAATGCTTCCATATTATCCCTTTATGGGGCTATAATTGGCATCATCAACATGATGGAACCAATGAGCTCCACCTGCACATGTGGCTGCAGCACATGAAGTGACACAATAACTTGCTCTTAATTCAAAACAGAAGTGCCTGAAACACCATGATGCTGCCACACAATGGCAAAGTGCAACATGTGGCTTTTAATACATATTCACTTTCTTTAAAAATGTATTGTCATTACACATCATACTTAAGCCATTGCATGGTATCAGAAATCCCACCAACAAAGCCTGCTTTTCCAAGCACCTCCTGCCAATCACTCACAGAGGTGGAGAGGAATCAGATACATTACCTCAGGCACTATTTTGTTAAGCATGGTCTCCATATCCACGCGAACATTTGGATCCCAATTTTCATTCAATGACAAACTTGCTGATGTGTGTAGTACTGGAAAAGGATATCATGTGTCATTTAAAAGTTTCATTTAAAGACAGCAGTAATAAATCTACCACCTCTTTGGTCTCTGAACCTGAATGAGACTACAAGCAATAGCCAAATATCAGACATCATGGATTCATTCACTGATGTTACAATATTCACAAACCGCAAAAAGGCCTACAGTTGGAGGCAAAAACATAAGCTAAGCCATCTGATAATTATTGTGTGGGTTGTACCATTCTATACCTCAGCTTGCTCTGGGTGGACAATATTGGTAACTTGGGAACATGCCTGTGGACCAGGCAGCACCACACATACTTATTCATATGCTCAATGAATACAACTTTTTCCTTTTTTTTTGCACACTGCAAGGTTATCAATGTACCAAGTTTGGCATACTACATTGCCAAACTTATTGCACTTATTCCAGGATACTGATGGGGGAGCACGACACTCATACACAGTAAGGGCTCTGTTGCCACTCAAAAAATTACATGCTCAAATGGCTTGTATGGCAGCAAGGACACTGGGCAAAGGTGGATCCTTTGTAGGAAGATGGGAATGTTGTGCTCCACTCAGTGTCTATTCTGTACAACTATTTCAAACAGTTGGACACTTAATCCCCAAAAAGACACAGACAATTTTGTACAAAAAAAATCATAGGACTTCAGCTTACTATATGCAATACTCAACAGAAATGTTTGAAGAGCATACGTTTTAAATGTTATATGCTGTCCACCCCTTCTCTACACTGCAAAGAGATGCACATTATGCTGAGCACCTATTTCAAAGTAGAGCAGACATCACCACAACAACTTCAGAGCAAGTATGCCATACATCTGAGTGGTCAAAGTTGGGTGCATGGTCACCACCAAGTTAAGTACATAGAGCCAATGCTCCAGAGAGTCATGATGATGCAAAGGAAAGTTAGTGACACATTAAAAATGAAACATTCAGCAAACTTTGGCTTAGCCTGTGCTTGGCTCACATAAGCAGAAGGTTTGGCACACATATGTCAGGAAGGCACCTGCTACAGTGGATGAATTTTTTAGCACTAACCTCAGGTCAATGTGTGCCCCATATCACTCCATCCGTCAGAGTGTCTGCTTCCCAATCTATGTCATCCAAACATATCACAACCAAGTGCATTCATTAGTTATTGCTTTTGGGCAGTAACAAAGAGCAGTGCAAGTGTGGCTGATGTGTGACAAAAAGTTGTAACCCTAACTAAAATTGGCATCTTACCTACATCAATAAAAACCATGCATTACACGCAACAGACTGGCTACATGCACACACATAATAGGACCTTAAAGCAGGTTACATTTATCTTTCACATTTGCATACCAGGAAGCACTGACCTACACTCGAGAACATACTCTCAGGAGGCTGAGTGACATGCCCTGGTCCAAACCATGGCAGATTTCAACAACATGTAGTTTGGGTATGGGTGGGGCACACATCCCTATTTGAGGTAAGTCATTAATATCCACAGAAGAAGCCACTGGACTGGCACGTTAAGAGCATCATGCGCCCACAGCATACAAAAACAGGTAGCACTGTAGTCAAGGACCAAATCTGATGACACACCATATTTATGGGTGACATGCATGGTCAAAAAATCTGCCTCCAATCGGAAAGCTTACTGTCCTATTCTAACAATATTCCATCTGCCCTAAACATCTTGCTGGCATGTTTGCCCTGGTTTGCAAACTGGACCATGTATATATAGCATATATGGCATGGCAACAGTATGCATGTCAGTGTCTGTTACATGCCTTATAAATGTCCATGTAATTTTCACACTGCATACATTGCATAATGGGCCTGCTACATGCTAAGATGGACCTCCCAAGGTAGTAAGCGGAAAATTCATGGCAGTGTTTGATGCGATAGCAAGACCAGACAATTGAGACGCAGTAAGAAAAGCATTTTCACTCACTCTGAACGTGACATAGCCCTACTGAAAACTTTTTAATCTCTGGCAAATGCCTCAAAATTTCATCTGTCACCAAATGGATGCCTCTTTTTTGGGGCCTAAGCTTGATTCTCTTTTGAATCCACGCGGATCCAATATGAACGGCCCCCTTGGGGGACGCCATATTTGTATTCAGTGTCCTGGGTGTGCGGCTGGTAGAAGTTCGAAGTGATAGATCAACAGAACAGTTTTGGGCAATACAGCGTTGTGATTGGGTGGATTCTTGAAGAACGAATATTATTGGTGAAAAGTGGTAGACCATATGCTTCAACATCAGCTTCGAGCTTTAGGGGCGCAATGTGACGAAACAGGCATTCTTTGCATTCGTAGCGCAGCAAGGGAAGCGCCGTGGCTTGTGCGGGGCTTTGCGGTTGCAGGGCTCGTGTGTGCGAATGGGGGCGGTGGTGCGAGCGCGGATTTGCGATCGTCCCGTGGAACCAAGTGATTGGAATTAAGAAACAAGAAGACAAGTACGCAACAAGTGTGCAAGTCGCCCAATTCATCGGTTATTTTAACTGTGGGGGTCTCATCTAAAGGCAGCAGTACGGCAGCTGTGAAGTAAACCAAGTCCAGGGACTTAAGCGTGTCATCACACAAGTGCAACACCGTCCAAATAGACAAGCTTTAAGCATGGGTGTTCCCAAATTTTTTAGATGGATGTCTCAAAGATATCCCTGCTTGAGTGAGGTGGTCAAGGATTATCAGGTGTGTACTGCATTGGAAGGGATGCTTATCACATTCAGGCATGCTGCTTTTTTGTCCAGTTTGATATGATGCTGATTATAATTACTTGGCAGTGTCAATCTGTGCTCAGGAATGACTGTTTTATTACCATGATACGTGCCCTTTTTGTGTGCAAATGTGTAGAAGTCCCTGGGTATAGCTGGACAAATGTGATAAAATGTGTTGCTGGGCTGTATTGGTCATTTAGATTAGCATTCCTATTACAAATGGTGCTTGCCAAACTAGATGCCTATCTGCAGGGATGCATGTTGATGCTTGTCTGTAGTATCAGGTATAGGGGTCAAGGTGGTGATTTGTACATCCCTTGTGGGAGTGGGAGTGGAAGTGGGAGTGTGGAGTGCAGAGCACCTTGTACATTAATTAAATTCTTTAAGGCAGAAAAACCATGACATATTCATAAGTTATGATCTTATTATATATACACCATGATTATAATAGCAACAGAAGACATTGGCCTATGACACTAATGGTATAATACTGGTGAGTTAATGCCATCCCAATGGATCAGGGTCAGCTTCCAATTCAAGGTGGAGCTGAGGGTGCATCAATGCCATCCCAGTGGATCAGGGCCAGCTTCCAATTTAAGGTGGAGCTGAGGGTGCATCAATGCCATCCCAGTGGATCAGGGCCAGCTTCCAATTTGAGGTGGAGCTGAGGGCTAGTTTCTTCTATTCAAGATGCAACTTTTGCATATTGGCATTTGATAAGTTGATATAGTACCTTAATTTGACATATTCAGATACTCAAAATATGTTTTTGAAGCTGCCCAGTAATATAATTGTACACAGCTAACTAAACCTAACCTAACTGAATGTGACCTACCCCACCCCAATGCCCACTCTCACCCATACCCGCTCCCGCTCCCGCTCCCACTCCCACTCCCAGCCCCAGCCCCAGCCCCAGCCCCATCCCCATCCCCATCCCCATCCCCATCCCCATCCCCATCCCCACCCCCCGCCCTGCTCCCGCTCCCACTCCCACTTCCACTTCCATTTCCACTCTACCCTTCTCCTACCCCTATGCCTACTCCTACTTATCATGTTTGTCATTCCCCATCTACAACCCATACAGCCTCCTACAACTCATCACTGTCCTGTTGATATGTAGAGGTGTGCAACATCATATTGCTACATTATTTTCTACTACATTAAGGTGTCATATTAAGCCACCTTGACTAATCAATGACCAGTACACAAAAGCTCCCCTATGAAAAGTACATGCCAACCTTCTACTGGTGGGAGGCCTAAATGTGTCAGCATTGTGCTACCGGTGTAACAGACCGACATCTGCAATTATTATCATGATTGATAGAGTTTGAAGGTATGGTGGTAAGATATTCCCAAGGCTTATCTGTTTTATGATTATTTTTGGTACTTCATGTCATAATAATATCAATGGATGTAGAATGTGTTCTTGCAGTGTAAGGTACAAATGTTGATGATGTCTGATGCTATTTGCCCTAACAGCATATGTATGAAGTGTTAGATGTCTTTGAAGCACCTGCAATAACTTGTGCTGGATTTTCAGATCCCAGAGTTTGACAACCTGTACCTGGACATGAATGGCATCATTCATCCATGTTCTCATCCTGATGACTCAAACCCACATTTTCGCATCACTGAGGAGGCTATTTTCCAGAATATTTTTCATTATATTGAGGTAAGTTGATGGTCTCATGCTGATATGACACTGCCAAGCTCTCAATGATATGGAAAGAACTGCTTTGGGATTGTGCTTTCTCCATCAAATTTTCTCATTTGTCTTCTGATTGTTCTACCCTTCATTGATAAATGAAATAAAAAATTGATATTGATAAATGAAATAAAAAATTGATATTAGTTATTAAACACTGTAAAACTTGATCTCATGATTCTGTAATGTAAAAAGATCAGTACCTGTGCATGTGAGAGTAATCCCTGCCAGCCACTCATGATCATCCCCACCCTGCCATGTTGGTGGTCAATGGGAAAGAAGCTGAATTTACAATGTAGCATTACTGGGTATGAGTCACAGAATGGGCACATTGTTTGGTCTGACTAAAATGGAAAGGTCATCTGGCTGAGTGGGGGTCAACATAGGGCTGGAAGAGCTGTGCCACAGCCCTGTGTGGAGTGTAAAGCCCTCCACATTCTTGCCTGGTGAAAGGATGGAGGCAAAATATCTGTTGAACTGGTCAATGCAACTTGGGTGGTGGTTTCAGGGTGCATGCAATAAGGCATGCATAGCAGGTACTCTAAGTCCAAAACCATCCATGTGAACCATTTTGAATAAATTTAGTATTAAAATTGCCCAGTTTTGTTCATAGTTTTGCAATGCATGGTAACCAGTGGGATCAGTTCTGTTTGATCACTAATTTGGTACATCATTTCCATGTCAGAAGACCTCACAGCCCTGAACCAGTATGCTGGGTGGGGTGAAGACCGAGAAGAGTGTCCCCCCTTTTGATTTTGGTTTTGTCTTAACCCCAGGTCTCACAGGTCAGGTCTGCTCATTGAATTAGTTGCCAAACAGTGTCTTTAATTTGTTTTACCATAGCTGTGTTATGTGCTAATGTTGGCAATCATTCATTTAGGGGTCACAGCTATATTCCTTGCTTCTAGTTCCTTTAGGATCAGGTGTACCCTGGCAACAAACCTGTAATTAATCTCACACACAGAGAGTGCCACAGCACCACGAGTGATACATGACATGTGTTGTGTACTATTGTAAGCATTGACTTAACAGGTACAAAGTGTGATGACACACTGATGAGAGGAAATGATTGGTGGTTGTGGGTTGATCCAGAAATGACACAATTTATTGTACATTAGTGGAGGCCTGTCTCCAACATACAACCCTGTTACATGCTGCTCTGAATATCTGGCCGGCTTGAGAATTGATGTGCATATGTGTCAAATGAATGTGTGTATGCATACACACGCCCATGGCGGGTGTAGTAGCGTGCTTTTGTATGCAGGTGCTTTTTCGGATGATCAGACCCAAAAAGGTGTTCTTCATGGCTGTGGATGGAGTGGCGCCGCGCGCAAAGATGAACCAGCAGCGAGGCCGCAGGTGAGTGGGTGATTAGCGCTCGCAAATGAGTTGATGATCGGCGCCCGCAGGTGAGTGCCCACAGATGAGTGGATGATCGGCGTCCACAGATGAGTGGATAGCGGCGCCCGCAGGTGAGTGCCCGCAGGTGAGTGGATGATCAGTGCCCACAGATGAGTGGATGATCGGCGTCCACAGGTGAGTGGATAGCGGCGCCCGCAGGTGAGTGCCCGCAGGTGAGTGGATGATCGGCGTCCACAGGTGAGTGGATGATCGGCGTCCACAGATGAGTGGATAGCGGCGCCCGCAGGTGAGTGCCCGCAGGTGAGTGGATGATCAGTGCCCACAGATGAGTGGATGATCGGCGTCCACAGATGAGTGGATAACGGCGCCCGCAGGTGAGTGCCCGCAGGTGAGTGGATGATCAGTGCCCACAGATGAGTGGATGATCGGCGTCCACAGATGAGTGGATAGCGGCGCCCGCAGGTGAGTGCCCGCAGGTGAGTGGATGATCGGCGTCCACAGGTGAGTGGATGATGGGCGCCCGCAGGTGAGTGCCCGCAGGTGAGTGGATGATCAGTGCCCACAGATGAGTGGATGATCGGCGTCCACAGGTGAGTGGATAGCGGCGCCCGCAGGTGAGTGCCCACAGATGAGTGGATGATCGGCGTCCACAGGTGAGTGGATGATGGGCGCCCGCAGGTGAGTGCCCGCAGGTGAGTGGATGATCAGTGCCCACAGATGAGTGGATGATCGGCGTCCACAGGTGAGTGGATGATGGGCGCCCGCAGGTAAGTGGATGATCGGCGCCCACATATGAGGTCGTCACTCACTGTGCTCTAAGTTCATTTCCATTAGTTTCGGAGCGTTCGGTGGTGATCGCTAAAATACTGCATTAATGTTGTGGAAAAAATGAATGTAAAAAGAAAAGGAAAGGGGTGAGACCAAGTACATTCAAATTCCGAAGGCAGAGACAATGTGACAATGGTTTAGATATAAGCGCATAAGTTGACCTCCCCCTATCGCGGCTCTCCCCAGCGGCTGCCGGCCGCTCCTGAACTGCTTGCCGTTGCCAGGTTCCGATCAGTGCGCGAGGCGCAGGATCGCGAGCGCGAGGCGCTCGCCCGCGGCGAGACGCTGCCATCCGAGAAGCGCTTCGACTCCAACTGCATCACGCCCGGCACTGGCTTCATGTGTCGGCTCAACCGGCAGCTGCAGTACTTCGTGGCCATGAAGATGTCAACGGACCCGCTGTGGAAGGGGCTGCGCGTCATCCTCTCCGGCCATGACGTGAGGATAGCACCGGCTGACGGTGGCCATGACGTGAGGATAGCACCGGCTGACGGTGGCCATGACGTGAGGATAGCACCGGCTGACGGTGGCCATGGCGTGAGGATAGCACCGGCTGACGGTGGCCATGACGTGAGGATAGCACCGGCTGACGGTGGCCATGACGTGAGGATAGCACCGGCTGACGGTGGCCATGACGTGAGGATAGCACCGGCTGACGGTGGCCATGACGTGAGGATAGCACCGGCTGACGGTGGCCATGGCGTGAGGATAGCACCGGCTGACGGTGGCCATGACGTGAGGATAGCACCGGCTGACGGTGGCCATGACGTGAGGATAGCACCGGCTGACGGTGGCCATGACGTGAGGATAGCACCGGCTGACCGTGGCCATGACGTGAGGATAGCACCGGCTGACCGTGGCCATGACGTGAGGATAGCACCGGCTGACCGTGGCCATGACGTGAGGATAGCACCGGCCGGCTGGCTGACGATACTGGACCCGGCCCGGCCGCGCCCACCGGGTGGTTTGGGGACTTCACGGGTTTGAGAGGTCGTTTGGTCACGTCCAAAGCCTGGATGGATCATTTGCGGCGGGTGAGAGGATGTTCCAAGAGGAGGCGGTACTTTGATTTATGTGGTCACATATATTCTTCGTCGTGTTGTGCAGCAGGCTTTGCTGCATGCTTCTGGACCCGGGACCCATTTGAGCAGTATGGGCGCAACGGGCAAAGCACGCCACTGGCCGATAACAATGAAGCTGGCCGTTTCTGGGAGTGCGCAGAATGTCACCCAAACAGTTCGCCCCTGGACTAAAATGTCAACGTGATCTTGGCGTGGGACCGCCCACGCCACGGCCAACTCATGACAATGCAGCTGACCGTCATGGCGCTCAATGCCGTAACTAGTTGACCTGTTGTCATGGCTGTGATGTGCCGCTGAAAACATTGCCGCGTGGGTATTTTGGCAGCAGTGTTTTATTTCCGTGTAGGATTGTTGTCAAGTGTAAGTTTTGTCGTTGGAAACCTTGCACGTGATTGTAGAAGTACCCTCGCGTGAAAGTGTAGGAAGGAGAAAGTGTCAGTGGTGGCTTATATAGACATGTAAGTTGCGCTGGCGGAAGCCCTGCTGTGTCGGGGGTTTGACTAGAAGTTTTTTTTTCATTGGAAGCTTTGACAGTAGTTGCATTATGTGCGTAGAAGTAACGCTGCTTGAAAGCTTCGTGCGTAGCCTCCGCATGTCGCAGGAATAATATCGCGTGGCAGGTTGATAGGGTACGACTTTGTCGGGTTGAACTTTGGTCCGTAGATGTATCATGCGGAAGTTTTGTATGTAGAAGTCCTTTCCCCGCTGTGTGGAAGCGTTGTCCATTGCAGTGCCGCCGTGTAGTAGTAAGTTTGCACATAAGCCATGCCGGGAACCTCTTTACCTGGGACATGATTTCATCCAAGAGTTCCGTCGTAGCGGTTTTGTGGGCAAACGTTTTTGTGCTAGCAGCGGTGCACCATTCGGGGAGGTGTCCGTGCCTGCCGTACCTGGCCGCCGCTGAGCCCTGTCGGCCGCAGGTGCCGGGCGAGGGCGAGCACAAGGTCATGGAGTTTATCCGCTACGAAAAATCGCTGCCAGAGTACGACCACAACACGCGCCACTGTCTGTACGGCCTGGACGCCGATCTCATCGTCCTGGGGCTGTGCACGCACGAGCCGCACTTCGCCCTGCTCCGGGAGGAGGTCAGTCTGGGGCCCGCGCCGGGGCGCCGCCGAACGCCCTCCTGTAGTGCCCTGCCGGACGTCAGCCGGCCCTGCTGCGCGCGGCTTTCGTGTGACGTCATCAAGGAAGGCCGCTCGTACGCAGTTCTGCGCTGTTGTCGTGTGTGCGCCGCTGCGGCACCGAAGCCGGTAATGGTTTCTACTTCTTGTCTTTGTTTTGTCACATTAATGCAAGTGTGGTGCACAGTGTCAGGTTATCATTTAAAGCAGTATGACATCTGGGCCAGCTGCATTATAACGCTCTGACCTCCTCTGACCTATGACTTCCTCCGACCTCTGACCTCTGACCTCTGACCTCTGACCTCCGCCCGGTCCAGGTGCTGTTCACCAGGCAGCAGTCCAAGCGGACGACGGTGCCAGAGGAGATGACTTTCTACCTGTTACACCTCAGCCTCTTCCGCGAGTACCTGGAGTACGAGTTCAGTGACCTGAAGGCTGCGCTTCCGTTCGAATTCGATATTGAACGCATCATTGACGACTGGGTAAGCGGCCGGCGGTGGTCCAGCGCCATCGAGTGTATTCGGCCATTTGTTTGCGACGACGAAGGGCTGCTTGTCAGCCTGTGACGACGGGGTAGCGGCGCCGATCGCCCGGTGCAAGACTTGGTCAGCCTTTCTGTTTTCATGCTCCGATGTCGGCCGCGTGCAGGTTAATGATGTGTTGTCCTGTGTTGTCTCCTGCTGTTTGATTTCTGCCAGCGGTAAAACGTGTAAGGTGAGCGGCCAGCGGAACGCTTCGCAAGTGTTATCCATGGCGCCAGTGGCGGTCGTGCTAAGGCCCGCTCATACCATGGCTCAAGCGCTAAGTTCGCTGCTTGCATAATCAGGGGTGTAGTTTTCTATAGAGTTAGGTAGGCTTCCACCCGCTCCCCTAACATGGCTCCCCGCACAATCTGAGGACAAAGCTTGCCAAATTCGAGAGACAGTGGTTTTCTGGCGTATTTTGGTGAAAGGTTTCGTCCTTTTCCACCGCTTTCCCCCCTTCCCCCTCAATCTTGCGAAAATGACGCCCCTGTGCGTAACATCCATTCAGGTAGTCGTAAAACCACTGGAAGCCCGTCCACCATTCAGAGCACACTGGTCATTGTCATGGTTCCATCTGGCAGAGGAGCGTATGACCCGGCGTGTACTGCGGCCGCGCTCAGGGGGACTCGAGACTTACCGACCCCCACCCGCCTGCCAGCCGTCAACCAGGGTCGCTCTCAGCTGCTCGCCACGAGCGGAGTGGCGGACACGGCAGGCTCCCCGCCGTCCGGCCGCCGTTTGATGCGGTCTGGTCAGTGCCCTGGAGGGCCTGGCCTGTGAGGTGTCTGCCCGAGTCCGCCGCTGCCGGGTCTTCCGCCGGCCCGGCTCGCTCCAGCGCGTGCTGTCATCTCATCGACGCTCCGCCGCAGGTTATGATGGGCTTTCTGGTGGGTAACGACTTTGTGCCGCACCTACCCAACCTGCACATCAAGGAGGACGCCCTGCCAATCCTGTACAGCTGCTACAAGCAGGTGCTGCCCACGCTGGAAGGTCAGTCTCAGCTCGCCGGCCGGGGGGACCGCCGTCGGGACGCTGAGGTGGGCAGGGCCAGGGGGGGGGGGGGGGGGGGGTTTGACCGACACCGCGCCTGCCAATTAGGGCCGCTCTCAGCTGGCCATCACCGACGGCTGCAGGAGATCGTCCGAGTCCGCTTGTCGCCCAGTGATGCCGTTTTCCTGTTGTCTTCACTTAGCAGCTGAATGTCGCCTCTCTGTGATCGTTATGGAACGGGCGGATGTCCGTGTTTTATCCCGCCTGTCGCGGCCGTGACAGCGTCCGATAGCCCGGTGCAATCTGCTTCGCCCTCTTCTGTTTCCATTGCCTTTTTCCGTACCCATCTTGTCCTTTCCCCCTGTGCCGCTCTCAGTGTCGGTGTCGGCCCGTGGCCATGTCTTGCCGCCCGCCAGCTTGGTTTGTGGCGGCGGTCGTGGGTGGCAGCCGTGACCGCTTGGCGCGCGCCGACCGCGGCAGGGTACATCAACGACGGCGGCACGCTGGTGCTGGACCGGTTCGAGGCGTTCATGCAGCAGCTGGCCCAGTGGGAGATGGAGAGACTGGAGGACTCCGCCGCCGACCGGCGCTGGCTCAGGAGCAAACGCGGACCCGAGGACGTGCGGTATAAGAAGACCGGCTCCAAGGTGGGCTCACGCCCGGGCCGGCCCGCGCGGCGTGACGTCACGGCGGTGGGCGTGGTGACGTCACGAAGGCCGGTGCCGCGCGGGGCTGCGCGGTGACGCCTGAGGTGTACCGTACCCCGTGGCTTCGAAGTGTGCCCTGCGGTCAGGAACTGTGGTGTACTTTGTATCGTGCGGTGGCTCGCCGTCTCCATGGGCTTTGGTCAGAACACTGGCGTTTAACCGCTCTGCCCGCCCCGCTGAGTGCGCCAGTGGATACTGATTACGACTTACATGTGTTGCTGTGGATGCCAGCACTTAAATGTTGAATGCAATCATAATTGATGCTCACAAATTGGACCAGTTGACCGGAGGCTTAAGTTGCGGCCTGGCCGTCAAGTTAAGCCTGAAGCACTGCCATGACTTTTCAGACGAAGTTCAAGCTGAAGGGGCGTGATGACTTCGAGGACTTCAGCATGTTCGACGCTCTGGATGGTGTGGTAGAGGAGGAGCTGGAACCAGCTAAGAACAAGTCTGTGGTAAGGCTGCTTGGGACTAGGGGACTATTGCTGGGGACTGTTATGGGATGTTCCATTGCTGGGCATAGGGACAACAACCGCAGAGCGGCGAGCTATTGACATTTCCTCTTAGCCGAAAAAAATACAAGCTTTGCAAGATATGTACACGAATCCCGAGTCATTGAATCCGAGTCGGCGTACGAACATGGGTCTCGTGAACGCCGGCGGAGTCGGCGGTCCGCATCACGCAACGCGTATACAATGGTCCGCAATTAAAAGGTCACTGAAAGTCACCAATGAGCGTCAAATGTTTCGCACTGCTCACCGCCTGTGGGCGCGCTACTCCGCCGCACTGGACGGCAGATTGCAGACGGGAGTCGCGGCAGGCCGCCTGAAGGTGCCGGGCCGGCCTCTCCCAATCCGGCCCCGCATGTGGGCCGACCCTGCCGCTAACCCAGCCCCGCACCTGCGCCGACCCTGCCGCTAACCCAGCCCCGCAAGTGGGCCGAACCTGCCGCTAACCCCGCCCCGCACCCTGGGCCTACCCTGCCGCTAACCCCGCCCCGCACCCTGGGCCTACCCTGCCGCTAGCCCCGCCCCGCACTTCCGACCCTGCCGCTAATCCCGCTCGCCTGTGCCGCGCAGTTCAGTGAGATCCACACCAACATCGATGACGATCTGCTGGAGGGGGACGAGTCGATGGCCGAGCTGGAGTACCGGCAGCAGCGGCGCCACTACTACAAGACCAAGATGGACATTGATATCACGCCGTAAGGCCGGCGTTGGTCGCCGACAGTGCCCCTGCCACCAGCCTGAGCGCCGAAGGGGCTTTGGTTGCCGCTGTCAGACTGTGGGACAGCGCATTACATAAGGACATCGCATGGGCTTGTGTGGTCCTGCTGCAAGGTGTTTGCAGGGGTAGTCGTAGTTGATTTAGTCGTGCAGTCGCGGTCCTTCTTAGCGGTCGGAGCAACTAGCTTTGTATGTATCTAGCGGAATTAGCTGTATTTGTCCGAGCCCCATTGTCGTCCTCCGACCGGGTTAGGGGTGTACTCTAGTTGTGGCATCGCCCAGGCCTGCCAATATCCATGATCGCACGGCCGTTCTCCGCACCGGTCGAACACCCCCTTCGAACATTGTGCTCGGCAGTCGCTGAGCGGAGGATCCGCGGCGAGCCCGACGGTGCCGCCCGCGTCCGTGACCTGTGGCCCTCTGACCCTTGCTCCCCACCCCTCCGGCAGCGAGGCGGCCGTGCGGCAGGCGGTCGAGTTCGTGCGCGCCGTGCAGTGGATCCTGCACTACTACTACGACGGCGTGTGCTCGTGGTCGTGGTTCTTCCCGTCGCACTACGCGCCATACATCGGCGACGTGCGCGGCTTTTGCGCCGTCGCCGACGTGGTGCGCTTCGACTACGGCCGTCCGTTCCTGCCCTACGAGCAGCTGCTGGCCGTGCTACCGGCCGCCAGGTGAGCGGCGGCCGCCGTCGCCGCCGCCGCGGCCCGAGGCCAGCCCGGGTGCCCGCCGGCGGGCGGCGCGTCAGCAGCGGCTGCGGCACTGCGTCCCTGCGCTCAGTGCTCACAGCACTGGCGGGCAGTGTGGTGACGGCTAGCGTGTCATGGCAATGCTGTTCGTTCCTGCGGTCCCGCAGTCTGGTCTTTTGCGTTGCTTTTTTCTGTACATTGCCAGGATCTTTGAATCCCACTTCTGGGCACTCTGAGCCCCTGCACATCGTGCTCGGTTGGCAGGATCGGACTGGACCCCGGCGAGGCGTGCCCGCCTCCTCAGTGCTCTTTTTCACGTCATGATCTTGCTTGCAGCGATTGTTCGCTGTTTGTGAGCTTGCCACCATGGTTACGGACGTATCCTATACTTCAGTCAGGACTCTCTACCCGAGTGTCTGCGCCCGCTGATGACGTCGCTGGACTCGCCCATCCTCGAATATTACCCGGAGAACTTCGAGACGGACCTGAACGGCAAGCAGCAGGACTGGGAGGCTGTCGTGCTGATTCCCTTCATCGATCAGGTGCGCACGTGCGTCCGCGCCACTGCGCGCGCTCGGCAGGGCCGGTCGGTGGCCTCGCTGGGCGGAACAGCGGCGCTGACGGTACCCCGTATGGGCATCTACTGTACAGCAAACATGAAATGTGTGTTTAGCTGTCGCAACCAATCATTGGCCCGAATCCCTGCCGTCCGATGCCGAATGTTCCGCTCGTAGTCTCAAGCCTGCTCCGCTGAAGTGATCGCCAGTTTCCTTCTGGTTGAAATCTCATCTTTTCAACTCTCAAGAAAATTACGCTTATGATGGAAGTATTTTTACCCTAATTGGCTTTATACCACAACCAGTATTTACTCCGTGAAATTAGTTCCACCCGACCCGTAGACTCCGTAGCCGACTTTTCCCTGCCGGCCGGCCAGCGGCCGTCAGCGTTGAGAGCGGGCCGCGGGCCTGACCCGGTGCGTCCGGCCTGAATTGACTGTGGCCGGCGCTGTGTGGCAGGAGCGGCTGCTGGCAGCCATTCAGCCGCTGTACGCCCGACTGACAGAGGAGGAGCGAGCCCGCAACGTGCACGGCGACGCCCACGTCTTCCAGTACACCAGCCAGGACCAGGGTACGGCCATGCTGGCAGCCGGGGGCCGGAGACCAGTCACCGCCCGCCCAGCGAGGCATGCCTCGCAGCTGGCGGCCAGTCCCCCGCCCGCCCGCTCACCCGGCGTGGCGTGGCGGAAAGTCGGCGCATGGTGTGAAGCTGTGTGATTATGTGCTTGTGTGCGTCGTGTACGCGTGATGCGTGACACGGGCGTCGCGTGTCTTGTGTCGGGGTCTGACCTCGCTCTCCGCGTCACTAGTGCGCCGGGAATCGGAAGCATGCGCGCGCCCTTCTGTCGGCGCCGAAGCCGTGCACGCGCTGAGGTGACCGAAGGTGGCCGGAGCCTGCAGGTGACAGCGTCGGCGGGCGCGGGCTGGCCGTCGTGTCGCGTCTTGGTGCTGCTGGCCGCGCGGCGCGCGGACTGCTGCTCCGGGCGCGGCCGCCCCTCTGACCTGGACTGAGCGCCGCCGCCGTCCACAGGGCCCACCGCCTCGCCCGGCTACTTCCCGGCGCTGGAGCGGACATACGCGCGCGTCTCGGTGCGCCCGCGCGAGCCATTCATCGCCGCCCGTTCGGCGCTGCGCAAGGGCCTGCTGCCCAACGCTCGGCTCGACCTGCTGTTCGTCGGCTTCCCCACGCTCAAGCACGTGGCGCACTCGGTGAGGGCCGGCGACGCAGCGGCCGACGGGAGGCGGGCGGCGCGCGCCGGCTCGGTCGCTGCCGAAGCCGATCGTTGATGTCATGTGACGGAGGGGTATTGTACGTTGCGAACCTTATGTCGGTGGCGCCCCTTTGGATTCAAGAGATCTCATGTCCCATGTTTACAAATACTCGGTGGCCGAGTGGTGGTGTGTTGCTGATGAGACACACAAGTGGTGGTGTGTTGCTGATGAGACACACAAGTGGTGGTGTGTTGCTGATGAGACACACAAGGCCGTTCAGCTGCTGAGGGAGCAGGCCAGACTGTTCAGCTGCTGATGGGGCAGACCAGGCTGTTCAGCTGCTGATGGGGCAGACCAGGCTGTTCAGCTGCTGAGGGGGCAGGCCAGACTGTTCAGCTGCTGATGGGGCAGGCCAGGCCGTTCAGCTGCTGATGGGGCAGACCAGACTGGTCAGCTGCTGATGGGGCAGACCAGACTGTTCAGCTGCTGATGGGGCAGGCCAGGCTGTTCAGCTGCTGATGGGGCAGGCCAGGCTGTTCAGCTGCTGATGGGGCAGACCAGACTGTTCAGCTGCTGATGGGGCAGGCCAGGCCGTTCAGCTGCTGATGGGGCAGGTCAAGCTGTTCAGCTGCTGATGGGGCAGGCCAGGCTGTTCAGCTGCTGATAGGGCAGGCCAGGCTGTTCAGCTGCTGATGGGGCAGGCCAGGCTGTTCAGCTGCGGAACATCGACAATAGAGCTGTCGACTCAACCAGCCCGTGATTCGCAATGCATCTGATTTTGTTTTTCGCGGCGCGTCAACCGGGGTGGACGTCGCTTGACATTGACCTGGATAACAGCGGGCATCCAGCAGCGCCAGCGGCGTGCTCGGCGTGGCAGGGATACATCCACGATGGGTGCATGTGTGCCAGTGAATGTTGACTATGAATTGTGTTAATGACAGTGGTGATGGCATGCGAATTTCTCGACAGCAGCTTGACGACGCCAATGACGCTGAGCGTCTGCCTCCAGTTCCACCTGTCGCGCCAGAAGGTGAAGGTGTTCAGCCAGCCGTCGAACGGGGAGAGTGTGATTCTGACGGTGAAGGACCGCTGGGAGGGTAGCGAGCCGGACGCGCCGGCCGAGGCCAGACGGCTGCTGGGTCGCGCCGTGTTCGTCCAGTGGCCGCATCTCACAGAGGCCAAGTGAGTCGCCAAAACTTCCGTTTTTTTGTTGTCTGTTCCGCGCTGCCGGCGTCAGAATGACGTCCAGATGGGCCCTGTATGTCGAGTTAGGATTGTGAAGCCTCTTTATGTATCTGTTAAGAGACGGATTGTGTCCTTGATCGTGTCTGACTGATTACATCTCCCTGTCGGTATCACGCCGACGCGGTCTCTTCGGCCCGTTCTTGGCAGGATGGCACAGGCTGTATGCTCTTATCAAGCTCATCACGTTTCTCAATGTGCGTGTCGGGCTGATGCCCCCGTTTCTCATCACGTTTTTGCATTTGCGTGTCGAGCGTATGCCCCCGTTCCACTCTATCCCAGCCTGAGGTCATCTGTTTTGGCTACCATATCGGGCTCATCACATAGACCCCCGTGCGCGTCAGCCTGGTGCTCTCCGTCCTTCCTGGCCGCCTGAAGCCCGGTGTTCCCCAACGTGTAAGGCTGGTACCCCCCGTCCTCCCTGGCCGCCTGAAGCCCCGGTGTTCCTCCCTGCGTGTCAGGCTGATACCCCCCGTCCTCCCTGGCCGCCTGAAGCCCCGGCGTTCCCCAGCGTGTTAGGCTGGTACCCCCCCCTCCCCCCCGTCGTCCCTGGCCGCCTGAAGCCCCGGTGTTCCTCCCTGCGTGTCAGGCTGATACCCCCCGTCGTCCCTGGCCGCCTGAAGCCCCGGTGTTCCTCGCGCGTGTGTCGGGCTGACGCTGCCTGCTGCCGCCTCCGACAGGGTGGCGGCCGTCTCGTCGGTCGAGAGGCGCTACACGCTAAAGCCCGGCTCCGACCAGCTGGTGGTGGAGAAGCTCACCGACGCCGACCGGACCGTTTGGATCGGCCAGATGCATGACATCAAAAACGCGTAAGTGCGGCGCGCAGGCGGCCCGGGCCGTGCCGCCCCCGTCGGCGGTGGCGACGGCGGCGTGTGTGGCGGGGTGTGACCGGGTGGTAGGTGAGGATCGCCGGTTTGTGTCGTCCGCACTGTCCGGCGTCATCTCATTCGTTGCACCACCGGGAATGCTATCTGTCGCATGCCTAGCCGTCGCCGAGAGAACGACGGCAGGCGGCTCGGCATTGTCGACGGCGCGTGGTCCGGTCTCCATCAGCTGCACCGCTGCCATGTTAGAGCGACGTGCTCGAAAAAACGATGGTGTGCCGGTCTTTTGCGCGTGCCGTCTCTCACGACACCTACCGACGCGCCACCCACCGTGTGATGCACGCGCGCTACGGCCACGCCGTGCAGGTCCCAGCGCCTCAGGCATCGTGCAGGTCTCTAGCGCTTCAGCCGCCGTGCAGGTCCCCAGCGCCTCAGCCGCCGTGCAGGTCCCGAGCTCCTCAGCCGCCATGTTGACAGGTATGAGAGCCGGTTCGGCATCCTGACGGGCGACGTGCCGCTGCTGGTGTACGGGCGTCCGATGACTGGGCGCAGGTACATCGCCACCAGCGCCGGCAGCGTCACGCTCGAGAAGCAGGTGAGCTCGCCGGCTTCGGATGTCGCCCGCCGGCCGCGCCTCGACGGCCGGCCCCCGGACCCCCGCACGGGGCGCGCGTGGCGGGCGGTTCGCGGTCCCGTCGGATATGCGCAGCTGTTGTCGCGGCGGACCGGATCGGCTGCCGTGTGGCGCAGCCTTGCTCGCTGTGTGCCGCTGGTCTGCTCCCGAGACGCGCAGCTCTGTGCCGTGGCCGGAGTCGTTCTGCGGCACCTTCCCCACCTGCTGCCGTGGTGGGCGATGCCGTCCGCCGCCTCGCAACGAGCGGAGCATCCCCTCCGGCGGTGCTCAAGTACTCAAGCCTCGAAGAAAAAGTGTGCAGAGCGAGGTGTAGCCCCTCGCTCTCGTGTTACTCGTGACTTATACCAAACGCAGAGGATGATGATCACAATGATGCTGGTGGTGGTTGTGATGGTGATGGTTATGATGATGACAGCGTCCCGCATGGCCTGTTTGCGCCCGGCACTTTTCTCACGACGCGCCGGTGCCCCGCTTCAGTGGTCGCCGACGCCGAAGCCGTTCGCGCTACAGACGTGCGTCCGTGACCTGGACACGCTGGACCAGACGTTCTCCCAGTACGGAACGCTGGACGAGCTGTTCAGCGCCGGCTCCACCTGCTTCGTGCTGAAGGCCGATTCGTACGGAGCGATGGGCAAGGCGAGTGGGAGCCGATGTCCGCGAGCAAGCCAGCGGGTGGTGTGTCCGCGCCCGCCGGCCTCGCCGCTGCTGGGCTCTCCGGTGTGGTATATGGCGCTTCCCGAGCGACGTGGATGGTCCGCGTGTGGTGTGTCCGCGCCCGCCGGCCTCGCTGCTGCTGGGCTCTCCGATGTGGTAAAGTGGTGTGTCCGCGCCCGCCAGCCTCGCCGCTTCTGGGCTCTCCGGCGTGGCATAGTGGTGTGTCCGCGCCCGCCAGCCTCGCCGCTGCTGGGCTGTCCGGCGTGGCATAGTGGTGTGTCCGCGCCCACGGGCCTCGCCGCTGCTGGGCTCTCCGGTGTGTTATAGTGGTGTGTCCGCGCCCGCCAGCCTCGCCGCTGCTGGGCTCTCCGGTGTGTTATAGTGGTGTGTCCGCGCCCGCCAGCCTCGCCGCTGCTGGGCTCTCCGGCGTGGCATAGTGGTGTGTCCGCGCCCGCCGGCCTCGCCGCTGCTGGGCTCTCCGGCGTGGTATGGTGGCGTGTCCGCGCCCACCGGCCTCGCCGCTGCTGGGCTCTCCGGTGTGGTATAGTGGTGTGTCCGCGCCCACCGGCCTCGCCGCTGCTGGGCTCTCCGGCGTGGTATGGTGGCGTGTCCGCGCCCGCCGGCCTCGCTACTGCTGGGCTCTCCGGTGTGGTATATGGCGCTTCCGGAGCGACGTGGATGGTCCACGCGGGGTTCAGTCCCATGCGGTGTGCGGTCACGATGTGTGGCGTGCTGCTGGTGTCCGGTGCCCGTGTGGTGACCTGGTGCTGGGGCGAGCCGTCGTGATGATCCGGTCAGCTGTAGTGCCCCTCCCGCGGTGTCGTGCTGGAGCGGCCGTGGCGCGCTGCTGGTCCAGCGCTGTAGTCTCCCCGCGAAACGGCGCAGTGCTGGGGTAGCCGCGTGGGTCGGTCCAAGGGACGGCACATCTGCGTGACATCTTTTTATTAAGGGATCATGACGCGTCACGCCCCTTGTATGGGGCGGCAGCGGCTGCATTGGCCGTAGAAGTGCTCGGGGGCTATTTGGAAACTGGGATTCGAACCCGGGCCTCACTACTAGGCGGTTTCATCATTCCTCGCGCGGCTATCTGGCACTCGAATTGACACTCCTGCCACCGCCAGGTGATCGGCGTGAGCGAGAAGGGCCGCGTGCGGCTGGACGTGACGCTCGCCTCGGAGCCGGACTTCACCAAGGTGGAGCGTCGGCAGGCGCGCCTGACCGCCTCTTACTTCCCCGGTGAGCGTCACCCCTCCGTGCGTGCCCAGCTGACTCCCAGCGGGCGACATTCGAGCTCAGTCTCGCGCCCGGCCGACAGCCAGGGCCAGCGGTGCTGCGCTCGCCGGTCCGTGGCCAGGGGAGAAGCTGTACACACACGGCGCCGGAAGGTCAGGCACAGGCAGGCAGCACAGCACCCCGCTGTCTTCAGGTACAGGCAGACAGCACAGCACCCCGCTGTCTCCAGGTACAGGCAGACAGCACAACACCCGCTAGCCTCAGGTACAGGCAGGCGGCACAGCACCCGCTAGCCTCAGGCGTAGGCAGGCAGCACAGCACCTCGCAAGCCTGAGGCCGCGGCGGGTCTGCCACAGGCAGGCAGCACAGCACCTCGCAAGCTTCAGGCCGCGTCGGGTCTGCCACAGGCAGGCAGCACAACATCCCATGGGCCCCAATCCGTGCCGCGGATTTTGGCTCTGAGAACCCCAAGCCATCTAATTCCCGATTTTCGATAGAAGAGTTCAGGGCAGTGCTGCGCAGCACGCGGAATGTTGTACCTGGATGGGAGGACGTCACAAATGAACTGCTAAAGAACCTCAGCAACGCGCCACTTGAGTCGTTATCGAAATTTGGCTTGATCTGGGACAGTGACACGTTTCCGAAGTAACGGAGGGAAGCAATATTCGTGGCTGTTCTAAAGGCTGGCAGAGATGGTACGGACTCCCTCAACTATCAGCCCGTTCCACTGACATCCTGTTTGTCAACTGTTAGAAAATGACGACCGGTACGCGACTTATGCGGTTTTTAGAGGCTAACAACGTGCGTTTCAGCTCTCGGTGAGGTTTGAGGAAAAACCGAAGCCCACTAGACCACCTGGTTGTGTTCGAACCAGTCATAAAAAATAATTTAACAGTCGTCAAAACGTCAAGGCTGTGTCCTTTGACTTATCGTCAACGAGTCGCACGCCTTTCATTGATGATTTCGCCATTTGGCTCTCCAGGTCCTTGTCAATTTTGACTGAACGAAATATTCAAATATGCCTCGACAAACTAACGCGCTGAAGTTTTATAGGCGGTTTTACCATTCCCCGACACTGAAGTTCTTGCGTATTATTCTCGACAGAAGATTGTGTCACTCCCATTTCGTATCCTCGCTGTGGCCGCCCGCTACCAGTTGTCCACCCGCTCGTGCAGTGTCGCCAGTTTGCAGCTAAGTGTCAGCGTTACTTCGGCCGAAATGCGCACCACCGGCTGTACCTGTCCCTGCGCTCCGCCATCCTCGGGATGTTCCTGTCCCTGTGCTCCCTCATCCGCGGGATGTACCTGTCCCTGTGCTCCACCATCCTCGGGATGCACCTGTCCTTGTGCTCTCTCATCCGCGGGGTGCACCTGTCCTTGTGCCCCCTCATCGGCGGGATGTACCTGTCCCTGTGCTCCGTCATCCTCAGATGTACCTGTCCCTGTGCTCCCTCATGCTCGGGATGTACCTGTCCCTGTGCTCCCTCATCCGCGGGATGTTCCCGTCCCTGTTCTTCGTCATCGCCGAGGATCTGATCGTCTAAACAAAGGCTTTTTTGCAGTTTAGGAATGACGTCGCTTTTAGAATCATATTCTCACCTGTTTGGCTGTTCTTCACCTTTGCAACTTGCTCTCGAAGAAACCCTGTTTCACCATAATCAGACAGCACACTCACGTGCAACCCGCGTGTGCGCCGAACTTGGGAGAATCTCTTAACTTAGTTCCGGGCGCAAAATGACCCCTGCCGTCGAAGCGCCTTTAAATCCAAACACGATCATCATCTAGCTTCCCGCGCGGCCGTGTTGGGGCGGGCTGGGCCTGGGCGGTCCGGCGTCGGCGTCGGCGCCACCGTTACCGGCCGCTGAGCCACGCCGCCCGCTCCTCCGGCAGGGTACGTGGCGGCGCAGAAGCTGGGCGTCACGTCCCACCTGGTGTCCCGGCTGACCGGCTGCATCATGCTGATGCAGGGCGCCACGCGCAAGCCCGGCCAGGGCAACGTCGTCGGCGAGTTGGCAGAGCTCACGGCCGACCGCGAGGCCAAGTTCAACTGTGCCATCGAGGTCAAGCACAATAAGAAGAATGAGGAGGTACGGCCGCCGCTGTTCCGACGCTGCTGGCGCGTGTTGTGGGGGAGGGGGGGGGGGGGGGGTCGATAGGGTGGTAGATGTCGCAGGTCCGAGATGTCTGGGGAGGTTCTGATGTGTATTTGGGTGTGTTAGGCGCGCAATGGGCGGCTGATGTGAAATGTGCAGTGTGTTTTCTGTCTTGAGGTGTGGTGCATGAGGTGTGTGTCAGGTGTAGGCGTGAGGTAGGGTGATACATGCTGCGTACGTGGTGTGGTGTGGTGTGGTGTGGTGTTTTGCGGTGCGGTGTGGTATGGTGTGTGGTGCGGTGTGGTGTGGTGTGGTGTGCTGTGCTGCGTATGTGGTATGGTGTGGTGTGGTGTGGTGTGTGGGATGTTGCGGTGTGGGAAGGGGTAGAGGCCGGGCAGCGTCAGAGAAATGGATGACGTCAGAGGCCGCCGGCATTGGCGTGGGCGGCGGCCACCGGCCGTACTGGACACCCGCCCAGAACAGTGTGGCCGCGGTCAGAGCTACATATGTGTCGCCCTGCGGGGGTGGGCCAGCACCTCGTAGGAAATGACGGAGTGGTTGAGTCAGGAGAGGTCAAACATGACGGGCTCATACTTCAGTGCTGCTGTTGCTCGAAAATTTGGACACTCTTAGAAGCCAGGTGTTTGTTTGGAGAGACCGCCGCGACGCACCTGAGCGATTTTATCAACCACTTCGATCTTATCCCGACATAAGCTGTGCTTTTAATAATATTTATCAACCAAGTCCACGTGACCTTTTCGATAACCCTCTCACATCAGACGGATCACATTCGATGGGCTTGATGCATCGGTTCACGTGTGCAGTCCGCGACACTGGAGGATCCCCAGCTCATCCGTAATGCTGTTTCCGGCAAGGCTGCTACGCGGCGGCGGCGGCGCTCGCTGGTTGGTGCTCGCAGCCTGGCCACATCCCTAACAAATGGCACCGGTACCAGCAATTGCGCTCGTGTCCGGTAGATGCCGGGCTGGTCGCGGCGCCGCGACAACGTCTGGCTGTACTCGGCTCGCCTGGTGGATGCGCTGCGCGAGTACATGGCCAAGTTCCCGGAGTTGATCGAGTTCATCGGCCGGAACACTGATGGTTTCAAGTTCTACGAGGGGGACGTGTGGCCCGACACCGAGATCAGGTGGGCTGGGGCCGACTCTGATCTACGAGGTGACGTGTGGTCCGACACCGGGATTAGGTGGGCTGGGGCCGACTCTGACGTACGAGGGGGACGTGTGATCCGACACCGAGATCAAGTGGGCTGGGGTCGACTCTGACCTACGAGGGGGACGTGTGATCCGACACCGAGATGAGGTGGGCTGGGGCCGACTCTGACCTACGAGGGGGCTCTGACCTACGAGGGGCCGTGTGATCCGACACCGAGATTAGGTGGGCTGGGACCGGCTCTGACCTACGAGGGGCCGTGTGGTCCGACACCGAGATCAGGTAGGCTGGGGCCGACTCAGACCTACGAGGGGCCGTGTGATCCGACACCGAGATCGGGTGGGCTGGGGCCGACTCTGGCGTACGAGAGGAACGTGGGGGCCGACTCTGGGCTGCATGGGGTCAGACGGGACTCTGGACTCTCAGACCTGACGTTGGGCTGACGGCTGCCCATCTCCGTCCTGCAGCTGTGCAGATATAGGCCCGGATACGATGCACGTTGTGGCTGACAGTAAGGACGGGCAGCGGATTGGCGCGCTTTGAACCATTTGGACGAAGTTACTGCCTGAGGTTTTATGCCAACCAATGTAGCGTTCGGAACTTTGGAGTGAGGTGTTAGCAGTGTGGAGTAAGTATTGTTTCAAATCTAAGAATGTGCGTTTGCCATCCATCCTCTCACCACAAATGCCCAAGATATAGTTGTGTTTGGCGCGCACACACCCAGGACCCAAAATCGAAACTTCATTACACGTGTCTTTATTTCTGCCCAACTTGGCCCAAGTACCCTTCACCCGATGCCGCACGCGTGGCGCCGCCGCGAGCCGGGCCCGGACCCTGGGCGTGGCGCCGCGCCGCCTCCTGTCTGACCCCGGACCGGCCCCGCGCGCAGGGCGCGTCGCGTCAAGGAGCTGCGGGAGTGGCTGCGCGAGCTGCCCTGCAGCCGGGCCGAGCGGTGGCCTTGCGGCGCGCCGCTGCTCGAGCCGGAGGTGGTGCAGGCGCTGGAGCAGGCCGTGGACGCGCACCGACCGCGCCCGGCGCACACCAGGCTCAGCGTCGAGCCCCACCTGCTCTATAAGGTGAGTCGCGCTGGGACGGTCACTGTTCGGGCGTCATGTCGCGTGCCAGCCGCCGGTGCTCGCTGCTCACGCGCGTCAGGTGCTGTACGCTGGGCCCAGAGGCGGAGTATGCATTCTGGCAAGCCTAACGTATTCGCCGGGAGTAAATGGGGGCGATAAGTACGACGTGAAGAAGCGTTGGCTGCCTCATGCAGTTAAGTTACTTTCAAAAGTGGCGTGAGGCCAAATGCACGAAGCCCGAGCTTCCCGTTGCTTCTGTTGCCTGGACAACAGCGTCTGTAACACAGATCCTGGAAGCTTGGGCCATATTCACACGTTTGCGTAATGCCATTCAACGACCTCCAGCCTTGTTGGGCAGCTGCGATACATAACGTTCCTGGTACCAGGGGTGTGCCGATCCCCAGAGCCCCAGCGTTGTCGCATGCCGACCGCCGTCGGGGCGCCCCGCGGCGGCCGGCGGACAGTCAGCGCACCGAGCTCGCGGCCGCGCGGGACCCCTGTATAGAACCCAGCGGGGTGTTCAGAGCGCGCTCTGGGATGGCGTCGGGCATCCCGCTCCGCCGGCGGGCTTATTGTGGCCGGAGGTGTGCCGAGGTCGGCGCGCAAGCCGCCCACCGACCTCTGGTGACCCGCCCACCGATTCCCGGCGCCGGAGCTGCCTAGGGACAGCTGCTGTGGCCGAGCCGGCCGTCCGGGTGTGTTACAATGGGGAACAAGTCGATAATTTTGACCTAGAGATTCAGGGTTGGAATACTTCTCCAACCAGTCGCCTTTCTCATAAAAATTTGTTACAAACCGTTTTACAAACCGTTTGTATTTTGTGATTTGTAATTTAAAGTTGACAAAGTACAAATTACAAATGTTTCATAAAACCAGCGTGCGTTGAACAGTCGAAATGGTAAAACTCGACGCCGTGTGTAATTCGTCGCCGCCTATCACCGGCCTTGCCAAGGACGCATAAGAAGTACGCCTGACGGGCTTTTTAGTACCCCATACGCCCAACGTTGACGTGACGTCACTGGCGTCCTGACACAGCGAGAGCAGCGCGCAGCACGCACGGTGCATGTTCCGATCTGGATATTTATGTTTCCGTTGGTTACAGCTGCACTGCATGCCAAATTTGCTGGAAAAACTACCCTTTTTTCCTTCCGTCCTTAAAAATACGTTACATTATTAAACGATTAGTTCGGTGTACATTCGGTAAACCTAACCCGAATTACATCGCCCATACTGAGCGGGGCGTTGGTGTCAATGCGTGCCGTCGGGCTCACGCAGTCGGGCTCACTGTTCTCGCTGTCCCCGCTTCCTCCGGCGCCGGTTTCTGTGTCACCCGTGCGCACGTGCCCAGGTCGCACCCAGAGTCTTGGTGGGGCGAGAGTGACACAGGGCTTTATAAAAGCCCCCTGGTGAAAGTCCCCAAGTTTTGAGCGGGCCCCAAATTTCCTTTCCTTTCGTTTCTTTTTTATCCAGTTCTTCCGACGGACGTGTTCATGAAGGGGCCATGGAATGGACACTGACACCACATCCTTGTTTCGTTGACGGTGCCGCCAGTGAAACACTGGGGGCCACAGAATACTTGTGGTGCGACATTCTGGTGACACGGGCGCCGGGCCTCATGATCGATTCAGAGGCCCTCTGAGGAAACACTGATCTCCTTTATGATGCCGGCCGTCCTCTGACGGGAGCAATTAGTGCGACTCGGAGCAGAGGCCTTCAATGACGCACAATAATTTCTTACAGGTACAGGGGATCTACTAAATGATACAGGGATCACTTTTAACAAAATCAGGCCTCTGGACAAAACGGAGCAAGGTCGTTTGTTAGTTATTAGACCCACTGTCCGCCGCATCACCATTCCATTGTCCCAATCAATGCGGGTCCTTTTATTGTTCTATTTCCTATCTCCCTTTATTGTCGGGGCCCCGAACAATGCGAGAAGCCCGCTGACATTCCAGGTCCCGTCACTGCCCCTTTCTAGCAAACGGGCCTGCTGCGGACTCGGGTTCCCCTGTTGACACAGGATCCCTTGTCAGGCGCTGCAGCCTCATGATAAGACGCAGCGGCTCTTTTTCGTCTGCTTAGCTAGTCTCCGCGCTCACTTGCCATTAGTTCGTACCAACAGCAGGGGCGCAATCAATATTTTCTTAATAGGGTGGGGGCAGACCTCGGCGAGAACGCGTCACGCCAATTTTTAATTTTCTTTTAAGAGCCCAGCTATGGTAAAAATGAAAATCCGTGGACCGAATGGGGCACCCCTTGACTGTGCTCCTGCGTAACAACCAAACAGCAGCGACAGCAGGGTTTGAAGACCACGACCTTGCAGGCAGGGGTCGGTTTGCTCCCTTTGTGAGGGCCCTCGTGTGACACCTCTATTATTTTTTTAATTTTTGGCTGCCACCACCATATTCGGTTGCCCCACTCACAAATCTTTTGACCCCTATGCTACAAGGTCTTAGGAAAATATAAATATCACAGGAGTCTTTCGACGTTACCTGCAGTTGATGACTGTACTACTAAAATAAAGGACTACTCCGTGCCACCAACTTTAAAAACTACCGTACATCAAAATCAAGTGGCCTAAAAGCCGATGAGAGATGTATTTAGGATGAGGTTAGAGTCACAGTTCCTCACAAGGGCGTAATGTCGCTGAATAATTTGTCGGAGGAGCAAATGCAAAATATGCATTTCACCAGGGCCCTGGGCTTCCCCCCAATCATTTAGCAAAGTTGACACCCCTGCTTGCAGGATAATAGAAACACTTACCGAACCAGGAAGACTGCGCTTGATGGTTCTAATCAAACTTTGAATGGCTATTTGCCTTGCCTCCAATCACTGAACGCTGCGTCTACCCATACGTTTCCGCTACGCCCCGGCGATGAGCCGGCAGCGGGCGGGGGCCAATTGACACATTAGGGCACCAGTGACATCATCGCCCTGTGCTGAGTCGCGCGGGATTCCCCATAGGAAATCCAATGATGCCCCCCCCCCCCTCCCCCAATATTTCACCCGCCAGCTGACATTGCCAGCAAGCAAGTAGATGTGTCATTGTATTCACCGTGCGTATTACGGTTTTAAGCAGAAGTAAACAAAACAAAATATGGGCACTGCCATGGCAACCAGTGAAACAGTGACTCAGTGAACCAGCATAACACCAGTGTTTTGTTACCGTGGCAACACCTATATTCTTCCCACAGACATGGATTCATGCACCGTTCACACCCGGCTGCCACTAGCTGTCCCCGTTTGGCGTCAAGTGAATGTCGTTGCATGCCCGCAGTTCGATAGGATGGGCACACCTGCTTTCACATTGCATGACGAAGAAGCTACACGGTAAATTTCAGACATTTCCTAACCTATTGGTACAGTCCATTTAAATCCTGGAGCTGTGACTTGGACAGTAGGCCTATTCACCGAAAAATGATCGCATCGTATCAGTACCTTCCCACCCCCCTTAACGCGTGAGCACAAGACAACGCAGTGTTTCGAATCGGATCGGTGCGGCTGCCAAGTTCACTTATAGTGATTGGTAATAGCGCAAAGTAAAGATTTGCTGCACGCTTGGTTGCATGGGCCGTACGCGGAGTTAGAGATTATTAAATCCATCACCGTCACTGGTTGCTTCCTGTGAGCGTTGTGTTCTGCGAGCTTGTTTTTCCTTGCCACTTCCTCTTAGAACTTGCTTGTTTTGCCCCGGGCGATTCTTGCAAGCCGCCTGCGAGCTTCGTGTCCATAATCCACTTTGGCAATAAGGCAGTCCAATCTTATGGCAATCTTACCGGCGAGTGTTCTCAGGAACATCTGCGGTCCGACTCCGTCGCAGAGGCACGATTATAGGCGTGGCAAGGCTGGCGCCCGTGTGCGTATATCATGCTATGGAGCGAGAGCACGAAGGAAACGGGGCCCGATTGGAAGGTCTCGCGATTGGAGTGTGGGTGAGGGCGGTAGGACATGGTGGGTGGACGTAGGTAAGAAAACTGGTCGTGATGGCTTGTTGGACGATAGGGATGTCTGGGCCTGTGCTTTTTTGCTCAGTGTGGATCATGCTTACGTGCTTTGTGTGCGGAAGGCTTCGTGGGGTTCGTTGTTTATGGCATGAAACCTGGAGTTCAACTTTTATCAGGTCTGTATTCGTTGACCTAGCGCCTAAATTAGCGCCTAATTAAAATGATTTGCCTAATACCCAGTTAGTGCCCAACTAAATTAGTTGCCTAAGTGCCTAAGTTCCGACACTGAATTGAAGGAGTAATGTAAGGGTCTTGATTTTGAAGACAGTTGGTGTACCTCCACCATACCATAGCTCCATGACCTTCCGGCGGAGGACCTGAGACCGCCGCGCGCGCGAGCGCATGTCGCCGACGAACGTCTCGCACTTATTAGGTCATATTTCGCGAGCTCACGGATTTTTCAGTCATGTTACGAGGGGAGGGCGTTTACTTCCAGCGTCCATGAAGACACTTACGACTGCCAATTTGTCATGACGATTTCCTTACAGCACGTTCAGAGCTTTTGGTGATGCGATAAAAAGGAATAGCAAACATGTGGGATGAACCACTCGAATGGCTATTTTGAAATGTCTGGGCTTCTGCTGCGGGGCCCAAAGGACATCATTATAGTAACGGCGATGGTCATAATGTCATGAGTGTGAACCCTTGCAGCTTGATGGTCAAGTATAGGTGCGGAACCTGGAGTAGGCCACCCTCGATGAGCCTTGTGGCTCTTGGCCGGTCTGATTGTCTACATGTTGCTGGGGGCGTAATGTCATACGTTTCCTTTGGGGCGACGCCGCCAGGACGAGGAAATAGCGAGCGTAGGTTCCGCCATGGCTGTCTGCTAATGCCGGGACTCGTGTTGGGAGTGTATTCGCCACGCACCAAGAATACAACATGCCACGTGATGTCAAGTAGAATCTCGCCGGACAAGTTCGCGGCTTGACACGTTGTCTATTTTCACTTTCGTCATGTTCAGAAAGTAACGCCGTACTTATCATGCTGTCCGGACTT